TTTATCTGTCTGTACAATATAACCAAGTTTCCTGACCACACTGTACTAATCACGTGGTACACCGAAGCCTTCGAGCACACTGACGCTAAAACACACGGTATCATGAAACATCCGAAGCTTCTTCCACTTCATTAGAACCCCAGAGAGGCTGGTCAAAGTGCTCATTCGAGTACACCGTTGTACGAGTACACATACACATACGAGTACACATACTAGTACACCGTTGTCGATCGGAGCTCTTTAAGGAATCCAGGCAGAGGTGCCTGAATTCTTTAAAAACAGTATTAATTCTTGGGATGTTTCTGTTAAGAAAAAATTATTTACACTATGTACAGAGCATAAGTTTTGCATGACGAATCAGTATTCAGTTATACATTCACATTTTTACAATTGTACATCGCATCATTCTACGCTGAAATTTTTGTGTGTTTATCTGTGGGTACATTCAATTAATCAACCACTGGGAAAGTCCTGGCTCAAAGCCCAGCCGTCTCGATCTGATGACTGCGTTCATACCTGTGAACATTCTCAATCAAAAAGCAAATATTGCGCATATTTGAGGCGCAACATCATTACGTAAGTACTAAGTATGATGTTTTTATTTAAAACGACGAACAAATTTGTGAACATAAAGACCGTATTATTTATTATTACTACTTTGTGTAATAATACTACTTTGTGTACATGAATGTTCTCCCGGTAACAATATGAGAAGACTTGCCGCTCTTACCTGGTGTCACACCTAGGCCTATGCTCGACATTCAACCGAGGTGAAAGCGTACAGGCATGGCATTTTGAGTGGCAAGGTGGGACGGTTACGTTGTCTCAACTGGCTGATTTACAGAGCTCGGGTTCCCTAGTCAACTCGTAGGGGCCGTTATGTCTGAAGGGTCGTCGTAAATGGGGAACCTTTGGTGGTCGCACGGTATTCCTGCAATGAGTACACAGTGCATGCTTGGCCCAGTCTCAAATATCACACGTCTTACGATTCTGCAACACAAGTGCTAAAAAAGTGTACACATCGAGAAAGTACACATCTCAGCTTTGAAAGACATCGGGAAAGCATGACTAACAGTCAATCAACGGGATTCTACATCTGCTTTCCAATGCAAGGGACAAAGAACAAGAGATGTTGCTATGCTTGGCTCTATAGTTTTTGCGTATTTGTGGCACTTTGGGGCTCGGCATGTAGAGCTCAATAGCATTGTATACTATGTTATCGCTTTCACAAGATCAGTGCTTTCGATATCATACTTGAATAAAGTTGAAATTGCAGCGAAATGTTTAAACGGTCGAATATATTATAACAGATGGGCTTCTCAGTGCTGTCATAACTTCATTTTGGTCAATCCATTACCTCTTGATATGTTTTTCAGTAATATGGAGCTGACTACAGCGATCAATGAACCGGTACACTTTCTGAAAGTTTTGAACATTGTCAAACAAGAACGTCTTTTGTCATATGAAAACATACAAGAATAATAAGATTACTTCAAAATGTCTTATGGTCTGGTGGTGCCCACATCATCTACACTCTTTCTTTTGTAATATTATTAAAACAAAAAAAATGTCGAAAATGCCTATTTGAGATAACAAAGTTTCAATACTTGAACTACGTTGTTTGAATAGGCAATCGATACTTCCTTTTAACACGGAAAATTCAAATGCATAAGTGGTCCTACTTTCTTTGCGCAATACTTTTTGTTGGAAAAAACAAATTATGAATAGTACTTCTAGGCCCAATAATATTGCTAGTGGTCGCTCCATGCACACCCGAATTTCATCTGATGAGATATCTAGAATTTGTGCATTTTATCAATTGTTTTTAAGAGATTACTTAAGTGATGTGCACAACATACAAAAAGCTTGTTGCTTATTTTCGGAGAAAACCTTCCGTCCTTTTCTCTGTTGTTGTCCCTGCTTTTCAGTTATTTATCTGGGCATATTCAGTGCCTTTATAATCTAAACGGTAAAATAACAATTAAAGCGACACCTCAAAAACTAAGTGTCAAATGGTCTTAGGTGTAACCATAGAAACAACAAGTCAGTAGAACCATGGTACAATAACTATTACATTAAGAACTTTGCTACAGGTCATACCCATGACAAAGGACCCAAACAGATTGATTGCTTCATATTGACCAATAAATTACTCATGGCACGCTGACTACCTCCCGATTACTAACTATTATTTCAGCGTGTTAATGTTTGCTCTGCTGTGGCATTTTATGGTCAAAGCTCCTTAGGGTATGGGTCTGTCCTCCCTCCGTTGGTGTACGTAGTCACCGGTGGCACATACCTGCTCTAGAGGTGGTATGTGCCACAGGAGATGCGAGATGGGAAATGGCGTTCCTTGATTGATTGATTGATATGTTGGTTTAATGTCCCAAAACCACCATATGATTATGAGAGACGTCGTAGTGGAGGGCTCCGGAAATTTTGACCACCTGGGGTTCTTTAACGTGCGCCCAAATCTGAGAACACGGGCCTACAACAATTCCGCCTCCATCGGAAACGCAGGCGCCGCAGCCGGGATTTGATCCCGCGACCTGCGGGTCAGCAGCCGAATAACTTAGCCAGTAGACCACCGCGGCGGGGCTACAAAGGGGTCAGGTGAGCTAAGAGCCATGGGATACGTGAACTACTGGAAGCCTCGTGAATAGCTAAATATGGCCTATATAGGTGTGTCCGGGCTACATCTGTGTATCTTTCGAGGAAGAAGCTTCATTTTCTTGTAGATAAGAGTCTTGACGGGAAGTGTACTTTCGTGGCGTGGTCATTATTATCATTGCGCACGTGCATCGTTTGAGAAGTTTCTTGTGTTTTCAATAAATCAACTGTTAGTCTGTGTTCCTCCTCTCTGCTTCAGTGATAGTGTGACCTCCCTATAGCAGAATTTATGTTTATATGATATATCTTACCCACTAGCCCCCAACATGAGCTTCTCGAGTTGTTCTCACTAACGTTATTCGCCGTGCAAGCAAAGGGCAAAGGGAGCACTTGGAGTGTTCACCAGATGGACAGCTACCACTTACGAATGATAAAATTTCTTGTATAAGCTTCTCGTATGATCGAAAATTTGAAACTACATGGCGGTAGTTGTAGCTGATGATGAAAAATTCCAGATGTTATCACAGGAATGATTTTACATATGGCGCGTGTCATTCGGCGACGTACAATGGGGGAGCGTTGTACTACAATTCGTTCGCTGTTGGCGATCGCTCGTATAGTCGTCAGATAAACAAGGCTGTGGAGCGTAGAGTACGAAAGGCTACGGCGGCGCACACTCGCAGACAAAATCCCAATGTGCAGGCCTGTGAGGCAGAAACGAGCCATGAAGCTGCGCGACGCCGCCCCCAAGATCCTGCCATGCTAGAGCAGGGGGCCCAAGTGAGACGGCAGCGGCGCGAGGACCCTGCCGTGCGAGAGCGGGAGGACCACCCGTCACGGCAACGGCGCGAGAATCATGCTGTACGAGAGCCCAATGCCGAAGCAGCACGGCTGCGGCGCGAAGATGATCTCCAAAACGTACGAGAACTGGAAGCGGCGAGAGAGCGCGCGTATCGGCAGGCAGACCCCGATTCATTGAGAGCTCGTGAGGCGGCTGCATAACGCATCAGGCGAGCTCAGCCCAAAGGTGCCGACTCGTGGTTTAAGCGAGACTTTCTAGACGTTTCATTCGGCCATAGTTGTGGTGGTGCGACAGATTATGGTTCTCAAGCTGTCTAGTCACAATATCTTTTATTAAGAACAACCAGGCTCACGCCAATGCTATCGCCATGCTGCAGCGCGAATTCCCCGCTGGCATGTGGTGAGTACAAGATTTGCTCTAGCTGCAAGGATTCGCTAGTGGTGGGAAAGGTGACTCCTATGAGCGTGTCTCACGGCTAGATGTACCCACCCAAACTAGCTCACTTGCCTCCTTTGAACCCCGTGGAAGAACGACTAATGGCTCCACGTTTGCCGTTCATGAGCTCAAGGACGTTGACGCACAGTTGACAGTAGGGCATAAAGGGGCAAGTGTTTAACGTTCCGATAAACGTCCCCAACACGGTTCAATGCCTACCTCGGAACATTGCGGTCGACGTGGCCATCAACGTTCATCTCAAGTGTCGGTTCGTGTGCAAACTGTCATATAAGAAAGGTCTGGTTAAGAAACGTAACATCCGCGCATGGCTCAAACACCTCGAGCATTCTCCGTTACACAAGTACGACAAAATCAGAATTCATTGGAACCGCATCGCGAACGTGCAAGACAACAGTGACGTGTACGAAGACGAGATTCAGCCGGCGCCCGATGTTACCGACCTGGATGACCCTATGCAGGCAGCGATTGCACTCAACACAATGGCGCATACCATGATCTTTGACGACGGAGCCTGCGTCCTCCCTAACTGCGTCAACAGCGACAGAGACGCTACGGTGGCAACAACCACGGCGGAATCTGCGGCGGGAAAGGCGGTGCACTCTGCAGCTGATGAAGTAGGTCTAATTGAAGGTACGCACACTCTCCACGTGTCCACCGTGGAAGGACAGAATCCAATCTCTCTGCTCTTTGACGAGTATGCCGAAGAGTTGTCGTTCCTTCAAATGTACCTCGGCATACCTCGTAGAATCACCGGACCCAAACTGGACCCAGACCGACTCTTTTCACAAAGGAGAGTAGCAAGATACGTCATATCGATCGACGCGGAGTGTGCCCCGATCACGTCTTGTACATGGTCATGAAGGTCAAGCGTCACAATGTTGGCAGCAAGACCATTACGCCCAGGATATGCGCAATCACAAGTGCGATTATGCGGCAGCAACTAGAGATGCCGATTTCATGAATGAAGTCCTCAACCGAGATCTTGGCTTCATGAGAGGCATACCAAACATTGTACAATACTGGCAAGATCGAAGAAAGGAGCTCTTTGCAATGATTTGTCAGTCGGGTAGCCTCACGCATTTCTCACGCTCTCTGCTGCGAAACTACAGTGGGACAGACTCATCAAAACGTTTCAGAGCTTGCGAGTGGGTCCCAAAGGGGTGGCGCGAGCTGTAGAAGAATCGAATGCCATGCAAGGCGTCGAACTGCTCAACAACAACCCAGTTGCGTGTGCAATTTACACCCATCGAATCTTCAATGTGATTCTCAACATAAAGAAATATAAGAGACGCTCCCTGTTCAAGCCCTATGTTGTGGTAGACTTCTTCAAGATAGTCGAATTCCAAAAGCGTAGTAGCGCACACATTCACACCATTCCCAGACAACACTCGATGTCCCGTGGTCGTCCTCATATGGTACAATCGTACTCGCACAGTTCTAATTGACCTTAGTATTTACTGAGGACGAGACAAGCTGGTTTGCTCCGGAAACATCTTTTCGAGTGCTTTCCGAGGACAACATTTGTTCCGGAAAAGGTCCTGGTAAAGATCTTTTGGGAATGACAAAAGCATTGGACTGAGCACTTAGATATAATTCCTGAAGACTTTTGTGCACCAAGTAGATGCATTTCATGAAAACTTTCTCCACACGTTTGTTTCTTACAGTCATAAACTTATTGAATATTTTCGCTCGTTTTTTTGAAGAAAACTTTCAAATTATGCGTCACGCTTAATGAGGCACACGACTTAGGTATCGAACCTGGTATTGCGAAATGTCCATTTGTAACAGTGTGTTCTTAAATGTCACAGCCCTAAATTTGTCATTATACGTCGCTGTAGCGCGTAGTAACAAACTAGCAGCTGGCAACCAATGACTATGCGGCACCCTTCTAGATGGTCAAGTAGCCAAACCATTCCAAGCCAACTGACTGTCAAAATGGCAGCGGCGGTCTTGTTAAGGAAAGTGCAGTGAACTAGTGATGGTTCGTGTCCTTTGTTGTTTGTGTGCATGGTTAAAAGTGAGATATGCGCGAGAGTGTAAGTCGTATGTTATGACGGTAGGTAAATTGCTGTGTTGATGGGTGCACTGGGCTGCTCAACGTTCAGACTGATCATGGATGTATTGTCACCAGCCGACCGCGGCGAGGTGCGGTTCGAAGCAGCCTGGAACAACAGCGAATCGCAATCAGTTGGGCTTCGAAGCAGCCTGGTCTCAATGTGAAAGGATCGATTTCTGCATCTGACACATGGCCCGACCTCGGGCAAGTCAAGTCAACGCCCGTGTCGATTGTACTGATAGGCTGTCATGCGGAGCCTCTAGCACGAGTGATTGCATTGGGCGCGATCACGTGGTGATGAGGACACTAGGTCAAACTTTCGAAGAAGATTACAAAGGTAGTTGATTGAGCTGTGTTAACTGCCTTCATACTGCTTTTCTTTTTTCAGACTAAACGCAGACTCGAATGCCTGACAAAGCTGTACATCGTGATTAATTACTGTTAAATAAATAAAGTTCAGTCAACAAGCTTTCTTTGTTTTACTCTAATAGTCCAGCACTGTCACCTCTCTGTTGATTGATACAGTATATATACTCGAGACCTCGTAGGTGTTTTTCTTTTGATGTATGAAAATGTCATGAAAAGAAGTAAATCCTAAGTAGTATCACTGCCCACAGTACCGAACCAGCCACGCTATCGTTGTTCTGAAAAGATACTGAAAAAGTCCTGAATTGTTGTTTTGAGGATGTGCTGAGGTTGTTATGTGTATGGACAAGGGGACGGGATTAGTGCCTTTCTAGCACCATAAGAGGACACTCTGAGGGCGTCATATGAGGCATACTGAGGATGTCCTGAGGTTGTGTTTGTGTTGTCCGGGTTCTGTGGCTTTATAACGAACCTCAAGAGGAAGTGTCTGATGACATGCCGCGCACGTTGCAAATGGTTGAATCGTTACTCACGTTCGACACAGACATTTTAAACAGACCTAGGACCCAGCTACATGATCATACACACACTTGCTATCAGCGGGGACGCACCAAGTGCCATTTCGGAGCACCGCTCATGCCCAGTAATGACACTAGGATTGCAGTCCTCTTTCCTCCAACCGAGAACGAGGCTGAGAAGGCACTTCGTCAGAAACTAAAGCATCGGTACGAACGGATGCACGATGCTTTAGAGAGGGGATCGTTTGTCCCGTTAGAAGAGTTTCTGGCCGTCTTCGACGTTCGGTCCAACGCAGAATACATGGGCATTATGAGAGCCGGATTTACGCGTCCATGCCTTCTACATCGTTGCACTCTGGCGCAAAAAACCGCCAATCTCTTCAACCCCTAGATCGCCAAGGCCTTGACGCAGCGGTATCTAAAATGACTGCAAGTAGACGTTGACTGTTCCAACAACTTTATCATTGCCCGCCTCAACGTTCATTCTCTCGATGCACATGACGACGATGTAGAACGGGACCACATACTAACCGCAGTTGACCTGCTATGGCTTACCGAGACATGAAACGCCAAACGCCAAACGATTGTTCGTAAAGGGATACGTTTCCATCGTGTGCACCTATGAATCGAAACGTCTTGCAGGTGGTGTCGCCATCTAATGAGGCAAACGAAAACAGCTGAAGATCTCAAACTAAGAGTCACGAGTCAAAGTCCCAACAGAGAACACGCAGCCACCAAGGTCTTTCACTATGGAATCGTATTCATGACCATGTATCTAGCTCATAACCTGTCGGTCAGAAATGTCAAGGCGTGCATATATAGACATGGCATTGAAAGAGTACATTACAAAGTACAAGAATGCGTCGTTCATACTTGTTGGTGATTTTAATGTAGATATCGTAGATACGACTAATACTTGGCTTATCCAACATATGGCTTCTAGATACGCACTCAGATGTACATTGTATGACCTACGAAACCTACCACGTTCCGAGGAACATGCATTGACCTAGTATTTGCAAAATTTCCGCTGCAACCTATACAGGAACCGCTCACCCTTCATTTCACAGACAATAAATCCATCAGAACGAAGGGACATCGCAAGCCATCGATCGTCTATAAGAATTAATAAAAGGTTGATTTCTATATATACACACACAGTGTTTCTCAGTTCTTTAAGTGATGATCGACAAGGGCGAATTACACACGGAAGACTTACGGTTTTACCGATGATTTTCTCCTGAGCTTCGCCCACTCATCATCACTCACTTCGTGGATACGCTGTGTATTTTTTTCTATACGATGCTTACCGTTGGTGTTTTGCATAGATGCTTTATTTTTGCCTGGGTCCAAGCTGTTCCCCAATTGTATTTTCGGAAGCATATGCTTGAGGACAGCAATTCATTCGGGGATCGTGTTCCTGCAAATTACTGATTACAAAGTATGCAATAAATATATATTCGGTAACTCATTGCTCTCAAAGTTCCATTAGTTTGTGGCTCTGTTTTACCACAATAATTTTTTGCTTCGCATCTTTGTGCTCACCATTAGGATTGACGTCATTTAATGATTTCATTCTGTGCCTTTGTTTTTTAGGGGGGCTGTCATATTCTCGTTTCATCAACCATTCGCAAATAGTATTTTCGCCACCTTGAACGAAACAAAAGATAATTACCAGGTCCATCGATATTGACAAAAATGTTTTTTCAGATTCTTCCACTGCTTTGACATAACTTGCAAGCTAGGCTGGCACATTAAAGGTGCCGTGTTCCAACTCTTCATAAAGTCTTAACAAGCCCTTGTACTGAGTCAATTGAATCTTATAAGTACATTAGCGAAAACGTTTTCAACAGAACCATAACAAGATCACACGAAACTGGTCACGACAATTCTGCGAAAAGTGCTTCAAACATATGTGCAGTGCCATCAACAAGCACAGTTATAGGCACGATTACTGAAGTGCCATTAGGCCAGGAAGAAAGCAGCACTAAAAACGAAAAAAAAACATCTCTTATTTAATATGAATCAACCCCTGTATTACAGCTTCGCATTTATTTCCTGGACAAATTCATCTACCTAGGCATATTGCACAGAAACTTTATGGCGGCATTTCTTTACAATGAAAAGCCTTGTGATCAGCTACCACTGAAAAGATGCACATGTCAGTATTCTTTGACGCAGCCCTTAAAGTATATGGGAATGCGCTCGTAAGGTGTGTCTTCGTCGACACGCCTCTTCACCTCTTTTGTTGTTCAGCATTTGCATGCACTGTCTGAATTATCGTCGCAAGAACTTGATTTTTTCTTTGTGTGTGTTCACAAGGTGCATTTCATTGTAGGTAAAACGTGATGACTGCCGTGTCCAAGAGAACTGTGTCTTAGGGGATAATTGACTGCTTTTTTTTGTAACTGTGGAAGCAGTGTATTATGAAAAGAGCGCTGGCACCACAACAGTTCAGAGTGGTGCCCTCATTCTATTTTAGAATTGTATCTTTTATGCTTTATATTTTTTAGCAGTAACTGTTGAAGCATTGCATTTTATCATTTATGGCAGGTAAACATTTTGCCTGCTGGTAAATATTCTGAGACAATCGATGGAAGTAGCTGACCTTGTGCTGCAGATGGAGGTACTGTAGAGATGACTGATTCATTGACATGGAAGCCGGCATTTTGAGCGGCTCGCATGACCGCACTTGCAAAGTCTCCTTCATTGTAGACGGAGTCATGGTATGAACTTGCCCCACTTGAGCAGCCGCTAGTGCAGGAGCTGTTGCTTTGCTCTGCTGTGCTGGACCAGGATGGTGCTGCATAAATTTACCATATAATGTGTGATTATATACACTAATAGCAGACTTAGGGTTGTTTAAGGTGCTAAGTTTTCTGAAAATGCATAAAAAAGCAGGGTAAATGAATGATTTCAACAAAACCAAATGGGGACATGCATTGATCAAAGTGAAATAAAAAAACAGTATGAAAGGACAAAGCATGCAGTGGACAAAAACAGCTAATGTCGTGATTATAGTTAAATCGCGTGAACAAAACGATGACCAAGAGACAAGAAGAAGACGAACGCTGTCCCTTTGTTGTCATTCTGTTCTCGTGGTGTAACTATCATCATGCCATACCAACTAGTTCAAACCGCCACACTTCCATGATAATGTCGGCTACACAAAAGCTCACAGTTTTACGGTATTCCGTTTCAATGTTTCGCTTTGATGCTAACTACATTAACATCAACATTCATCATAGTATGAACTGTGTGGAAAGTTTTGAGTGCTCTACTAAAACATGCTGGCACCTCTTGATTGATTGATATGTGGGGTATAACGTCCCAAAACCACCATATTATTATGAGAAATGCCGTAGTGGAGGGCTCCGGAAATTTCAACCACCTGAGGTTCTTTCACGTGCACCCAAATTTGAACACACGGCCCTCAGTCTTTTCACCACCATCGAAAATGCAGCCACCGCAGATGGGATTCGATGCCGCGACCTGCGGGTCAGCAGCCGAGTACCTGAGCCACTAGACCTCCGCGGCGGAGTGGCACCTCTTGATTGTGTGGTCGCTTTGTTGGAAAACAAGTATGCAAAATAAGCGTTGCAAAAATGTTTTTCATGAAATTTCTACAAGACTCACACAAATTAGTATGATTGATTTGAGTTCAGTTTTCGATAGAGTGCCTCTAAAGGTAGGGCTCGGAATACCCTCGAATGAATAGTTTGAAATGATCTGTATTGGTACAAACGGATCTCTATGAAAAATCTGCAATATTCTTCTAACTAACTACTTTACAAAACTACACCACTTACTGTGACTTGGTGCAAAATTAGTGTCTTCTGCAACACTGGACTCGCATGACTGTGGCTGCGATGCATCCTCAACGTCAGATTCAGCATAGCTGTGCTGGTAGATGTGTCCTGGAGAGCAGTGCCCGAGGTTATAGGTGGAGACTTGTTTGTTATTTCTATGCTTAAATTCACCAGCTTTCAGAATAATTCAAGTGACGCCTAGATATGTCACCTGCAGCAGTCATAGTGCTCTGTACACCAGTAAAGTTTCTCTTATTTCTGGAAATATTAGAGCGAACTTACTACGATTATGTACTACGATCTGCAGAACAGGGCCGAAGGAGTCAATGTGAAGTCACGAGGCATAATACTGTCTAGGCTCATCAAAAAACATCTTGCTGTGTACAGCCTTGAATTTAACGATAACACATGGACACAGAAAAAGCCACAAAAACAAGTGTCTGCTCTATAACGTCTGATAGCCTATGCTAGGCAACACTCACCATAATATAATAACTACTGACAGAATTTATTGTTTAGCCTACATTATCCAGCATTAACCAGTATTTGCCCACCAAATCTTTTTACTCTTTAACGAATGTTATGCAAAAACTGGGGTGTTTAAGTTAAGTATGGCTTTGCATGCAAGACATTCGAAACACCACCCTGATCTGTATATTTAACTGGTGAATCTTCACACTGCCTTTTATATAGACCCTGATACAGCAATTAGGATTACAAAGTTTCTGCAAATATTACGCCCCAATGCTCACCTTGAAGTGTGGCCAGCCGTGGGCCTTGTTGCTCCGCGGCAGTGTAGAATGCTGTCGGCTCTTTGTTATGTGATGGCAGTGATGACTGTATACTAATGTCCATGAATGGGTTACTGAATATCTGCTCTTGCAGCTGCTGTGACTGCGAAAGCTTGAAGAGGAGGTTATTTTCCCTGGGCCAAAAGCAAGCGTCTCCTTGGTGTGGGTCTGTGTTAGAGCTCAATAAGCCATTGCTGGACTGATTCAGAGATGTTTTAGGTGATGGAACTGGAAGTCGTGGCAGTACTTGCATTATTGTTGAATTCTGAGACAGCTGGATTCCACTGGGTTGGAGCTGGGAAGGTTGAAGAGCAGTGTATGTTACATCTAAAGCTTCCTCATGATATATTCTATAAAATGCCTAAACGAAGACATTGTGATAGTAGTACAATACATTAGGTGCAACTAGCATCCACAATAAGACGTGCCAAAGAAACACACTTTTCTATTTCCTTCGTTGCTCTTAGTTGTACAGAAATAAAAACATATTACTGAACGGAGAACTACCAAGGAATCTGACTTTTCTATAACCTGCACATTTGATCAACAAGCTGACATTTTACGACTTGATTGAACGTATTCGAATTGATTGCACTCATAGTGTTAATCGATTCTTTTGCACAAGCTTCATCTTTCATATGATACAGAGAGAACCTGCAGATGCTCCGGTATTGGGCCAGAGTATCTATCCTAACGTAGAGAAGTAAATTACGTAGAAAAGCTAGAAGTTGTGCCAAAAGTGCGATCTGTGTGCAAAAATTAAATCTGTAGTGAGATTAATCATATACTTCAAGATCATTTTGTTGTATAAGAAGTACCAGCATACACTAGCTTTTAGACTCATGAACGAATATCATGCCTGCAGCAGTGCCTCATGTTCCTGGTAATTTCTTCATGTTCACTTTGAAAATTCAGTAAAAAGAGAAGTAAAAATCCTGGTAATGAACTTTACTTGTAGAAACAAACTGGAAGCATTATTTTTATTGTTGAATAACTTAGAAAAATATAGTTCAGGTAGTTAGCTTATATACTGAAACCAAAGTCATACATTAAAGTGTTTTTTTTTTAGTTTTCACTACAAGTTAAACTTGGAGCAGAAGTATACAAGTGGGCAAGCACATATAAGTATAGACAATTTGGAGAGCCGGCCATCAGTTTTTTTAGGTAGTTACTTTTGTCCAATCTGCAGTGGAACACAAAAAGTGGAGTTTGTTTACGTAAAGAAAATACACACCGAATAAAAAGTAAGCTTTATGCAAGATGTCTTCTGTGAAGCTGCGTATTGCTTAGAAAATTATTTCCTTGATTGCATGCCTGAGATATTGTATGCTGTAAAAAAAAATATGTTCGTATACATATATGGTAGGTGTGTAATATGTGTATTCGTGTTAGAATACACATACATGCCAAGAAATGTGGTGAGCTAGTTATTTTTCTATATATACAAAAAAGATTTAAATGTATGGGAACTTGGGCTAGTAGGTTTGAGGACATTCATGGTAACGATTCGGCATGCACACAGTGGACGGGAAAGCGGAAGGCGAGAAGACAAACAAGTGCAAACTCACAACTCGGTTTATTGAAAGAAAGACACGAAATACATATCCCCGGGTATCTCAAGAGCCCATGCGGATAAAAAGCAAAAGGAAAGAAAAGCAAAGGAAACAATGATAACACACCATGACACTAATTTTGACACTAATACACCATAACACTAATGATCGTGTCACTGTTTGGTGTGACATGATCATTTTGTTTTATCAAAAAGAAAAGCTAACTCATGCATTAGTAGAAGCATCTCATATCAGAAGGTGCGCTGATAAATGTGTAAGCAGCCCACCAATCGCACTAACTGAGAAAGAGTGCATCTTTTTTTTTAACCACACTTGACTTTCAAGTTCTGCTGCATGTAGCAGATATCACCTATGTAAAAATTAGTGTCATGATGTAGTATTGTATTTGTCTTGATTTTCTGTCATTTTGTTTTTACGGACTAGCACTCTGGAGCTAACCTGGGATATATATTTGGTGTTTTTCTTTTAATAAACTGAGTTGTGAGTACGAACTTGTTTGTCTTTTCACCTTCCGTTTTCCCGTCCCCTGATTACGCTCTGAAATGTTACCAAAAATATGCAAAGAAATAAATTGTTTATAATGAAATGTTCATTTGCTGCATAAAACGTTTTTGTGTTTGCCAATTTTTTTTCTTTGTTATTCAGTGCTGCACTTTCTATTGAATGGGCTGTTTTCTATGTCCATTTATAGGGGCATGTAGGTGCGTCCAGTATAGATATCTGAAAAATTCTCCAATCGTTATTCCCCTCAATTTATCGGAGTTGATGTTCATGCTCATTTGACAGGTATTTTTTAGGCTCCATTAGAATTTATCTCAAGTAGAGCCAAAACTATGACTGACAAGTATCAAAAACAGAAATCCAGAATATTTTTGTAGGACTAGCACAGGTAACACTTTCACGTCATTCAAGAGCAACTTTTATGCATTGCTTTTTTTTAATTTCACATATCTCCGGTAACATCTAATGCACTACCTATAGTACAAATACAACGTTAACAAGCGCATTTTTCTTCGATTTTCTGCTAACAAATATATTACCTGTTTTGTGAAATTTCAAATCATTTTATGCTGTTGTGGTTTCCATTGGCTAGTTGGTTAGTTTAAAAAATAGTGAAGTGCGGTGTGAATAACACAGAATTGGTAAAAAGAAAAATAAAATTAACAAGGTAATACGCAACCATATTTGGTAATTACGATGTGATATCTTGGGTATATACACTCACGTTCTCGTTGGGTTGTATGTCGTGAGGCGGCGTCCTCCTCAAAGAACCCGCAGTATTTATTTGAGAACCAACTTTACGGGGCGGTTCTTCGAGCTGGGGAGGAATTATTTCGGACCAATTCATCAAAGGTACCCTCGAGACGGTTAGTCCACATGAAAACTTCGGGCAGCTTTTTTTGACGGACATCCCGTACCCATCTGTAAACGAAAAGTCTACGTTCATCCCGAAGTAATGGTGTTTGAGTTTATTGGAAGCAAACAGCACACTGTTTTATGTCGTATAGTGGTCCCAGCCTCAATTTTTGATGATTTACTGGCTTGAGCCAGTGCTTTCTTGCTGCCAATAAAGAAAGTAAAATGTCTTAAAAAGACACGAGAAAGCAATTATTCTGACAAATGTGGTAGAAATATAAATTTCTTTAATACGATATTTCGTAATAAGCATTTAGCTGTACTAGCCAGCTTTTGGTGTGAAAGATACTTGCATTTGAGACCACTTTTTTTTTTAAAAATTAGGCAGATAAAAAAAAAAAAACAGAAAGCTCGCAGAAGCTGCAATGTGCTACCACATATACTGGCTTTGCTGTGAGTGCTAGTAGTTTACCACGCGTAAATGAGTGAACTGCTTTTATTTTAAGCACAGCAAATTGAAAGGTAGCTGTGCTGGTATGATGATAAGTATGGGTATTGGCTCTAACCTTCACTCTGAAAGGTTATGTAAAAGATTTAATAAATTATGGCAAAGGCGTTGACCGTTGACTTATTGGCTGGCTTTGTCTCATTGTTCTGGTTTTGTTGCAGATCCTAAAAGGACAATCACACATATCTGGACTCACTTTATCTGTGCAAAAATGCTCAATTCTTTTAATATTTAAGAGTTATAAAATATATGAAATATGTATGTTACTTACAGTACATTCGTGCATATTACCTGTGCCTCCATATGACCTGCACGCCTATCTCCCAATACAAAAAAAAGCATATAAGCCTTCATATAACTCTCACCCTAACATTTAAGCACGCTTGTCCTTTATTTTGTGCTAGTTACATGGAAGAAAAACCTTGTCTACTTATTTACATGTAAGTTTATCATTTAGAAATCTAATACACTCACGCTGTGTGGAATAGTTCTATTGAGACACTTGGCGTTTCCCGAGGATAAGCCTGTGGGTTGCAAGTGTGGAATAGCTCCTAAATTAATTTTATGTCCAACATGATACGATGCACATGCTCACTTGAGACAACTTAGCTCACCTGTCGTATAACTGCCCGAGTCACCGGCCGGGCTAGCAACCTCATTAGACTCCAACAACCGATGCGTAACACCATCTAGACTAAATGAGGACCGCAAATAAGGTATTACAAGCATTAGGTCAACAACAGTGTACAATGTTCATGGCTTGAAAACCTGACGCTGGGCTACGTAATGCCCTTGCACTCATTGACAACATTAGCCATTCGCGTTGTATCAGTTTGAGACAAAGGAGCCCACATTACGCTTACTGAACCAGATTCGTAGTTACATAACACAGTTATACCAACCAATTACAATGTCAGCGATTACATTAGTTTTGCTGCTGTGTTTTAATCCCTGAGCCCTGTGCATGTGCAAAGGTACTTCTCAAGTATTCATTTTATTTTTATTATTATAACCAGTACGTACCTTCTCCAGTGCCCTTCAGTTCAAGGTCAAAAGCTTTGTCTGATGTCCGATTACTTTCTTCTGCTGAGTATCCACTGCGACTATCCTTGGTCTAAAAAAAAAACAGTGGGTACTTTGTTTCGATGAGTATACCGATATGAGGAGCGATTAGCAGAGGGCCGAATGAAGTAATTTAAGTCTGTTTGGGCTGTTAGAACAACTTGTTGAAATGGGAAGTGTACTCACCCAAAAACTATATCATCATAAACGACATACAAAGGACACCAGGTTTGTGCGGAAAGCACAGCACAGACACAGCAAAAAAATAGAAGAGTGCCATCTCTAAAGTACATCGAAAATTTTCTTGGGGCTACTAATACAACCACGCTTGCAAGGTACCCACAACTCCATTAGTTGATTCGGTGGCTTATGACGATGAACAATCATGTCTGAGCCCTTTGAGATGGGTTGTAAGCATTCAACGACGCCCGAGTTAAGCAATTAGTTTTGTGCTAAGCAGCTCCTAGCATAGCACAGCTATCCATAGTATAGCAAGGGTTTGGCAAAGGAAATAGAGGATGAGGGGGAATGATATGTGTGTGATTCTCGTTCTGCAACGCTGGTTGTTGTTTCACTCTTCTGCCACGTTATATTCTATATGTGAACACGGTTCCATCCCAACATAACTCTTGTATTGAGTTTGTGTGTGTGAGAGAGTTTCGAGCACTGGCATGACTCAGGGTACAATACTGAAGTACAATGGACCCAGGTTCAAACACCATTCTACCCGGAATAATCTGTCCTGGTTCATTTTTCACTATTTCGTGCGACAGCGGTTACAGACAATGGCGGCGGCAGAGGAGCACAAATAGGGAACCGTTGGTGATCACATAACAGTTTTCACTGTAAAAGTGGGTATGTGCAAAGCAGCTCTTAGCATAGCATAGTCATTGATAGTACAGCAAGGGGATGGCAAAGAAAATAGAGGAAGAGGGAAAATGCATGTGTAAGAAGGAAGAAAAGAAAGTGGGGAAAGGCCATCGCAAAGGGTTTTGAAGTATGAATATGTGTGGGACATGAGTATGTACCAAGGCACTCCTAGCAGAGATAGCATAGAAATTCATAGTACAGCAAAGAGATGTCAAAGAAAATGGAGGATGGGGAAAAATGCGTGTGTAAGAAGGAAGGAAAGGAATAGGGGAAAGGCCATCGCAAAGCATTGTGAAGTCTGGAAATGTGTGGGACATGGGTATGTACAAGGGCACTCCTAGCATAGCATAGCCATGAATAATACAGTTCAGCAAGCGGCCTAGACCACGTAAAATCACTAACACCAGTTGCAGTGTAAAAACGTAACTATAGTCACGTGGCAAGTTTCTGCTCAAATCATATTACACAAGTAACATTACATGTTCTCACTAAACTTATGTAATGCTAGTTGCATATCATGTTCTCACAAACCCGTTTTGTTTAAGTAAGGCAAACACAGGGGCTTTGGAACAAAGATTTTTCCAGGAATCCGAACACTACCTGTGATGTTTGTCCTGGCCTTACACTACAAGTGCAAGGTATGCCTGTTTTGCAAATATTGAATTTAAAAATGAAGTGGCTGTAATTTTTTGTACATGAGAAGCCATACAAGATTTACTTTTGCGTAAAACCTGATCAGTTCCCAATTGTCACTTTGCAAGTCATACTGTTTCGTAACTTTTTTGAAGACGAGCGTAAGTCCTATTCACCTGCCATACAATACTTCAGCCTATACTATCTCTAACATTTTAAGTACAAACAGATGAGCAGTATCATCACTCTTTCGTATTTCTTGAAGCGATATGTCACCCCATTACAATATACAGCTACATCAAGTGACAACACAGAATAAAGCTCCAAATAAAGTTACACATGATGAAAATTTATGCGTGACTCATGATTAAAACCTCATTTTGGAGACATCACAAAAGTCAAGGAGAAATTCAGAGATCCTCTCAAGATGCTGAGGAAAGTAATAAAGAGAACATAAGCAAGAATAAAATGGCAAGGAAATACAAGCTCAGCCCAGTCGACAGTTTCGGTACAAAACTGAAGGTCTTCATGCAATAACACGAGAAAACAATCGGCACATTTGGCACATGACCATGTGAGTGGTCTTGAATAATAGCACCATATCATGGTGGGAGATGGCAGTAGGAAACAAAACGTTTTACTTACTGAACCACTTAAACTCTTATGGAATGAAGGATTTATTAGCGTTGTAGTAGCATAAGGCTCCGGCATAGACGAAATGTCCTTTTTGTAGAAAGTTGTCAAGTTGTAAGTGTCCACCTCAGCATAGTCAGTGGCATCAATGCTGCGGTTTAATGGTGCGTAGACACTGCATACATAGGAAAAATAAATGGTGTAAGCAGAGGTGCACTGAAGTGAAAAACTGAGAAATAACTTGTTTCATAATTCAATAATTCAGTTAGGCTATCCAATCAATTCTTCAGCAAGTACAAGGTTCGAACAAAACAGTTTTGCGGTTAAGTGGATAATATGATATATACGTCGTTCAGAGCGCAATTTTCTGTGCATCTGCTTATCAATCGAATACTTGTATATTTGCTTCTAAAATGAGCACTGTTGCAAAAACATTCTCTGCAAAATAAATTTCAGTTTGTTGATCTACTCATGAGAACAACAAATTTCTCAGTGACAATAGATTGAAATTTTGATGTATGCAGGACTTTTATGCCTAAGTTGTGAAATGACATGTTCAGCACATTATTTTCTAGAATTTATTTTTGCATGTGAAATCTCACAATTTAACTTTCTTTTTGCCAAATTTATGTGCATGGGAGTCTCCACATCACATGACTTTTAAATAATTTGTCTCTAGTATGCACAGTTGTGTGGAACAGGTAGCCAGCAATATAAATTATGCTGAAAATGAAAATTCGGGTTAGCACTGACTACATAGAATCCGAGTAAACTGCACCATAATGCGGTTAATATATACTGTGATGGAGGAGAAATGAAGGCTCAATGAACTGCAACATTTAATCGACAACTAAACAAGATGGTTGAGCAGCTGGTTGTGCAAGCGCTTCACAATCGGCCATCTTCAAAATCTTCTGAGAGCTCCACGCTTGCTATGTCTATCACGAACCTTAACAACCTCATGGAGTACAAAGTTTTATGGCGTAACTTGTCGAAAATGATCTATTGCGTCCTGTATACAAAGGTTTACTAGACAAAGTAAAGACTAATGGCCATGAAGTTCAACAAATTTTGAGGAAGACCACTTTATTTCTTTAACTTACTTTTCAATAGAAAGCTACACAAGCAAAATTTGTCTGAGGAACTGTTATGAACCAATCGCACTGAAGAGTGACACAGGGTGCGTGACCACTTGTGGCCGATGACCGAGAAAGGAGTGACAGCAATCAATGTTTACACAAACTAGCACTACCTACGCCCTTCACCTTATCAATATGTGTCATGAATTATATTATCAACTTGTCCCTGCTGTCTCTGCCTTGTAAAACATGTAGTAAGCAACAAGACGCCCTGTTCCTGTGCATGTTATTTTTTTCAACTATACTCATGCATGTGGAAAACGGTTGATTGAGTGACTCATCCAAAACATGCTCTGTCTCACAAAATTTTGTTTGCGACCGACTTGTTCGAACAAGCATTGAGAGTCGCCAGAGTGAACGAGGCTTTGGAAATGACCTGCTATGTGCCAGTTTGAGGTAGCATATCACTGTCAATGAAAAGGATTGGCAATCTTCTGTAGGTCAGAGGAAGCTCACCTAGAATAGTTAAGATCATTTGAAGCACAGCTCATCTTGTTAAGAGCCTCTATTTCACAGAAGGGCTCCTTGATGGTGTCAGAAGCTCTCCAGGCAATCTGGTCAATCCACAAGGCTTCGTGAGGGCTCATACATGTCGTATCAGAGAGGGAATCGAAACAGTTCCTGAAGTGAGCATGGAGGGCAGGATTTAGGAATCAATTGCTTGCATGCCAGGAAGAGCGTAATGTTACGCATCTGAAGTTGGAAAGATAAGCATTAAATGCGTGTTACGTAGTAGATGCAATTGTATTGCACAGAACGAGGAAAGTATTAGGAAAGCGGATGGGTAATTTTGCACATGACTGCTGCAATTCTTTCTTGCATGCTCTTGTCAGTGTATTAGAAAGCATGCACTAATTAACCATGCATTAGTTAGTTGATGAAAGAATTACTGTTTCATGTCAAGGTCAAAATGAAACAATCGAAATAAAAAGTCAGACAAAGTAATTTCCAAGACCTGTTCGGTAAATGTCTGTGGTTATTAGACTGAGTATGCCTTGCCTCTTCTTTAGATTCACAGTGGAGCGGCACACATGCAGAACGTGTCCGTGTTTTACTTTTTACCACGAATCGCACTGTTACTCGAGACTAATGTGCCTCCGTTTCGCATGTGTTCGTATTGACGCGCTCTGCAGATCATACAGATGCCATTCCAGTTCCAGCGCTCATAAGGGGAATTTATCTCCCCGCTGAGGAAGAGACGCCACAACTGTACTGTGCCGGGGGATGGAACAGCTGTCACCTCTACTACGACTTACCTGATGTCTTCTTGCTTGCGTACCGGAACTGGAAAAAAATATGAATGCAGCAGTTTGTTTATAGAAACAAAAGAGTGGAAGGCTAACTGAACTAATTATTGAATAAACACTATCTTACATCAGAAACTTTTTGTAGCATTTAATATATTCTGTTCTATTTTCTAACTAAAACTTCTTATGGACTCTCATACTCTGTTACAGTTACCAGGCTATCTTCCAACAAAACTGTCTAATAGAATCTCGTGTATCTAGTCTATAGAGTTGCATGACTGGGGAGAGTCAATATATGTATGAAGAAGCCATTAAGCATCTCAAAATCATACCTGTTATAACTGTCTTTGTATGTTCGAGCCGTCTTTTTCGTAGTAAAAATATTACGAAAACTGTGGCTGCTGTGAGCAGCAATAATCCAAAAAGTGCAATGAACCATGGCTGTGTGACAACGTTTTGAAGAGGAGTAGAGATTGATGTTGAGAATGCTGGGTTTTCTGAAATGTACAAAGAAAAATATATGAGATGGTGAACTGCACACGTCTTGTAGGTAAATCGCAACTCCTAATTTCAGCACTGGTGGTGTTACGTTATGAGTATGAAGCTAAAGTTCAAAAACTTATTCATGCATCTTCACTGCAAAGAATGCAAATAATGGTGACATCGATGCTTCTGTAGCTTTGCTATTTATTGATATCCCAAAAAATGATTTATCTTGACATTTTTTTAGTTTCTTCATATTGCTTCATATTGATCAGGGCTTTCGAGTTTTTAGAGTCATAATATCCTCTCTCTCAAACATTTGTGTTAAAAACTTCAAAGCAGAATAATGTATTACTGTAACAACATAATTTGTATAAGGCACTCAATCTGCATGGTGTTATAATATAAAAATCGTTACACAGCTTAACAAAAGAATGCTTAGATTTCACCTGTTATGCTAATCACAAGCCATGAAAATAGTTAAAAATTAGAAATGCTGTTTAAAATTCAAGACCTATCTGCATCTTAAAAATGATATGATAAAAAGCATGCATAAACTACTGAATGTTATTTTCAACGTAAGGAAATGGCAAAATACAACGAAGAATTTCTTGCAATCAGAGAATCGATGCCCTTGGTACCACTAATTGCTTCATGGCACAACTCAGCAGAAAAAACAGAGCAGTTAACTAGCCCACCTGTCGTTTCTACAGGTAGTTGTATACATATACATTGACATATGCATTGTATTTGATGAAGCGAGATCAAGTGGTGTGGCCGACCACCATCCCCTTTCCACAGCTTCCAAATGTATGGAAAGAGGGCAGGACTTCAGCACACGGCGTGTTTCCGTAGCCTACATAAGTTAAATCTTCTAATGCTCTAGAACGTTCTCGGAGAACCATATGCACATCAAAGGAATGGAGTTTAATGCGGAGCCGTGCAACTCAGTTGCGTTAGAGAACAATAACATCACTTACAATGACAATCTAAATTGCTGTCTGACCACGCCACGGCAATGTGTACGAAAATGAATAAATTAACTAGAGATAAATTCTGGCTTGAAAAGTTGCACTAACCCATTTTGAAGTGAATGGGGCGGCTGGCCGGTCCCCCACCAGCGGTAGTCAGAGCAACCACACGTGCTTCATACGAGGCTCCTTTCTTCAGGTTGTTTAATGTAAGGCTGTTTGCTGTGGAGTTGGTGCTTTGATTGAAATGGAAGTCAGATGCATCGCCGACAACGTACACCTGCGAATGGGAAGTTTGTTTTTTCCCAGTTGGAACAAAGTGCTCGTGTCATTCTTCATGTGGTGTAATTACTCTACACACCGTAGAAAATTTTCCCGCAGTTTTCTTTCTAAAACCTTCCAAAGCTATACTAGATCTCTGAAAAACTACCTGTATTCCTCAGGAAACAAGATTGTAAGTACCTCTAAACTTCGCACTTTCGCATAAAACTGAAAAGAGTTCTTGAATATTATTTCGCTTCTCACATTAAAATCTGAATTGAAGTGAAGAGCACAAAACAATAAAGTTACTGTACATGCTGCAAAGCAAGTAAAAAAGTATTTGTATAGTGAGTACTTATCTGTAGTCATCCGCCATAACATTTTTAATAGATAACATTTTAAAGATTGGAATGTTATAAGAAATTATCAGAAAAACAGCATGTATAGCTTGTAATGTGGCTTAACAGCACATTTGTAAGCTGTGTGGTGCCTTATGTACTGCTCTAATTTATTGATTATTATGTTCATCCTTTTCACACAATAAAAACATTTTCATATATACAAAGCCAGCAGAATAAATAAGTCACTGACCTGTTTGCACTACGTGAACCTGTTTACACTTAGGTTCAACTTAGAGCTCAGCTTCATTGGTGCTTCAATTTTTCTTCTTCTGTTCATTATTGTGCGTAAACTAGCTGAAAATGTCAACTGTATATTTTCTACGTGGTATGTATCTTACAAATAGCCAAAATGTCATTCATCATGAAGCTACCTAAAGAGGCCCTGCAACACGTAAGCAGTGCTTGATTTGAATAATGAAATAAAGGCGCTTCAATTAGTGAACTTGGCAGTAAAAGCTGAGGTGAGATTTGTCAGGGCGTCGACGGGTTTCATTAAAAAGAGTTTCGAAGAGTTTGAATTGGCAGTAAATATTTTTCGCTCGGACTCGTGTTTAGTAAAAGTCGTATGCCTACAACATTGAACAGAGAAACTTGAAACTGAATGAAAAGCTGAAGGAAGAACATAAACAATTGCTAAAACTAAAGCTATGTGGGAGAAAGAATAAAATTGAATTGAAAGATGTGCCTACAGCAGGAAACGGAGGCGTGAACAATACAATCCAAAGAGTCGCTACGGGCTTAAAAATAGAGCATGCCAGTAGTGAAATCAAAGTTGTTCATGAGATGCTGACGAATGACTCCACAAATATTGTGGTTAACGTTTATGAAGGTGGAAGAGATAACCGGTGAAGACTTGGCTAACCTTTTGTGTGACGTGTGCCATTACTTTCATTGTTTGAATCTTGACTAAAGACCGCACAGGTAAAACTGTTCAACTTGCCTACGTAGCTTCAATTCAATTCAATTCAATTCTTTATTTGCAAACTATGAAACATACAGAAACATCACGACTGGTTGGACCCATAGCCGAAGGCTAGTTGAGGGTCCAAAAAATATAAATAACTAAGGGTTCCATGTACAAAAAAGATATATCACACGCATACAGATATTTACCGTGCATCCTTATTTTGCACGAGTGAAACAAAGGAAGAGCGAAAGTGTCGGTAAATGCACGATTGTTTTTAACAGTTCTAAATTACGAAAATACAAGTAAACAAAGCAGATTGTTGCATTATTATGAAGGTTAAAATATGCATGGCTAATACCGAAAACAAAAACCTAATCATTGGGTGACAATAGTATTTTTAAACAATTTCACAAGTTTCTAGCAGACACACATGCATACATAGACACACACACGAATGACATCATAATTGTTTTCATTGATAAACATTGTTCTGTGTAAGTAAGTATTTCTTGAGAACAGATGAAAAATTATTCAACTATTTTATTTCTGCTGGAAGTTTATTCCAAATTTTTGGCCCTGAAAAACTGCAGCAAACGTTGTCCATAAGTATTCTTCGTTGGAGGAAGATTGAAATTTCGATATGTTTGATTTCTGGTTACACGAGAGGATGTGCAAAATAAAGAAACATGAGAAGGCAGGTTGTTTTTGACAACATTGAAAACACACGTGGTAATTTTTAATTCGTGTACCTTACCATAAGGCAAAATATTCATTTTCATAAACACAGGCATACTCGGCTCATTGTAGCAAGATTGGATGACTATTCTCAGGGCTCGTTTTTGAAGTTTGCGAACAGGTTCAAGAAACGTTTTTTATGTTGCACCCCATGATTCATTGCAGTATGAGATGTGGCTGTGAATGAGTGAAAAATATAAAGTACACAGAATATTGGTATCAAGATGATGACGTGCTTGTGAAAGTGCGTAGCATCCCGAGGAGAGCTTTGTACAAACTGCGTTTATTTGTTTTTGCAAGTGCAGATTTTTATCAAATATCACGTCAAGATATTTGAATGAGCTGGCTTCGTCAAGTTGAAATTCGTTTATTCGCAAATCTAGTGATATAGGAGGCATGATATTGTTGCGTGATCGAAATACTACATATTTAGTTTTTTCGACCTTTATAGTAAGTTTGTTCTTCACGAACCATTCATTTGCTTTATTCAACTCTTTGTTTGCTTTAGTTTGCGGATCTTGAATGTTGTCCGCTGTTATAACAATACAAGTGTCATCGGCGTACATAATAACTTCATTAGTGTCTAAAATTTGTGGGAGGTCATTAATATGTAATGAAAATAAAAGTGGCCCTAGGACGGATTCTTGAGGGACTCCAGTGCGCATACACTTTGGTAATGACGTAATATCGTTCATTCTAGCTACCTCCACTCGCTCATGAAGGTAGCTAGTGAGAAGATCTAATGGGCTACCGCGATAACCAGAATGCTTTAGCTTATGTAAAAGTATGTTGTGATCAACCGTATCGAAGGCTTTTTTCAGGTCCAAAAATATGACACACACAAGTATATTAGTTTGCAAAGATACATTAATTTTTTGAGTTAGCGTTAACACTGCTGATGAAGTAGAGTGATTTGGGTGGAAACCCTGTTGCTGCGGGCACATAACCTCATATTTTTGAATGAATTTGTGGAACCGGCTGATCAGAATTTTTTCAAATATAATATTAATGGTACTGAGCAAGGATATCGGCCTATAATTAGAAAGGTCAAAACACGCTCATCAGAGTGGCACGGAGGAAACAAGTTGCAGCACACGCGCATCATGACCCTGCACCCTTTTCCTTTTCTTTTCTTTTTCGAACAAGCTGGTTACTATCGGTGTGATAGCGAGCACACATGTGGGTCTGTGGTGTCCTCGGTAAATGTGACTCACAATTATCGAATCAGCCGAAGACCGTGAATATATAAGCACTTCGGTATTTGGCATTATTTCTAGAAAGAAGAGGGACTAATTTAGTGCTCATTTTGAAAATTAGTTTTAAAATGCCTACCACGTGCAGCGCAATAATATTTATCTCAGTTGTTCACAGAAACCTTAGGTACCGATTGGCAGCATTTTCTCACCACGTTGAAAAAGCGGTGCACACACTTCCTGAATTCGCTGTCCCAGACAGGAGTGTGTGATTCAGCTGATGGCATAACACTTACACTGTATCCTCTTAGTCTTCCATTGCGATGCTGAGGTGGCGGGGGAGACCAGAATATAGCGGCAGCTGTGCTGTTTAGAACATGGACTTCCACACTATCCGGTGGTGCTGTTGGCACTGCAGGGACAGTATTTTGATAATTAAGTCATTGTTCATGGCTATATCTGGCTTAAAATAACTTGACGAACAAATCGCACCATTCCTTTCGTTCCGTTCGTCGTTTTTGATACGCACGCTATAAATGTACGGCAATTCCTATTGTCCTCCTCGCTTCATTGCTACATATTTATTATCTGATTAGAAATATTTGTCTATTTGTTTACAAGGCAGCAACAGAAAGATGCTGCAGTGCATCATTACTTCACTACAAGTCAAAACAGAGCGAAGCTAATTCGCTTCTTCGAAAGCAAGATGTGGAATATTTAGAGGCATTTGGCAAATGAGGTTTCGTAAAACAAAAGGCTGCAATAAGACAACTGTACCAAAAATAGGTAGACATGAAATGAAATACGTGAGTTAGTTAAGTGATAGTTCACACAGCTAGCACACGAACAGCAAGTACAAAAGTGAAGTAATGACAGGTAGAAATACTGCACGTTTCCGAAAATTGCAGTGACTCCTTGCTGTATAAAAATGACGGAAGATTCACGTGATGAATGATGCAGAGGGGAGCGAAGCTGGGTCCGCACGACCCTGTCGCGCCTCTTCGGCCTCCCGTTCTCGTACGCCGGGATCTTGTCGGCGCCGCCGCTTCATGGCACGCTTCTGCCTCGCGCGCTGGCACATCGGGGGTTCCGTATTCGAGTACCAGCCGCCGCCGTTTTGCGCGCACGCTGCTCTGCAGCCTTGTCTATTGGCCGACCTACTAAACGCGCCAAAATGGCTTTGGATGGATGGATGGATGGATGGATGGATGGATGGATATGGCTGAACCCTTTAGATCGGGCGGTGGCTAGTGCCACCAAGCAGTAATACTTAATGAACCAAAAACTAGACTTATTTTTTTTCTTTAAAAAGTGAGTTTGAGGATTCTTACTTTGCAGTGAAGAGTTTAATTTTCACTCGTGCCTTGACTTTAGCCACCAATCAGATAACCTCCTTCTAGTTAAGTCTACCCGCTTAAAGTCTATTCTGCCCTCCCGGTCCCTAAACCCCAGTGCTTTGAAAAACTCTGTGCCATCATCCTGAACTACAGGGTGAAGCCCTTTACAGAACATTATCAAGTGTTCGGTAATTTCTTCTTCCTCTCCACACGCACTGCATACCGTGTCTACCCCTTCGTATTTGGCCCGATATGTCTTGGTTCGCAGTACTCCCGTCCTTGCCTCAAACAGTAGAGAACTACCCCAAGTATTATCATAGATCCTTTCCTTGGCGATTTCCTGCTTAAAAGTTCGATACTATCTCTAGTGCGGACTTCTTAATCATGCCCATTCTCCACATGTCAGTCTCCGTTTCCTTCACTTTCTTCTTAACCGATAGTTCTTTTTGGTTTGGCCACCTGCTGTTTTCTAAGTATTTACCAGTCAATTTCCTGGTTCGCTTCCTCCATTTTGTATCGACATTCTTCATGTACAAGTAGCTGAAAACCTTCCTAGCCCAACGCTCCTCCCCCATTTCTTTCAATCGCTTCTCAAACTTTATCTTGCTGCTAGCTTCCCTGCCCTCAAATGATGTCCATCCCATATCACCTTGTACTCCCTGATTTGGTGTATTCCTGTGAGCTCCTAAAGCAAGCCTACCTATTCCACGTTGCTTAATTTCTAATCTTGCTTGAACTTCTGATCTCATGCACAAAACCGCATTGCCGAACGTCAGCCCAGAAACCATGATCCCTTTCCATATTCCTCTCACAACATCATACCTGCATATTTTACTTCACCGCGCCCTCTAGCGTACGGCCGACGAACACGCGATTGCCGACGCCTTCGTGTGACGTCGTTCCTATTTTCTCGCGTGCTCGCACATCGGAATTCCGGCTTCGAGCGCGCGCTGCCACCACCTTGCGCGTATCATAATTTTTATCGGTAAACCGTGAATCATCCGCTGGCCGCGTCCGTCCGTCATCTGTTTGTCTGTCTGTCTATTTGACGCACGGACGGACGTGTGGACAAATGCATGGACAAACGCAGGGACGGACGCACGAATTGGCTCACGAGGAACGGACGGAGAGACGAATGCATAGACGAATGCACGATTTGACGCGTGGACGGATGCACAAATGAACGGACGTACGATAGAACGATTGGACGCATGGACGGATGCATTGACGCAGGGACGGATGGATGGACGGACGGATGCACACATGAACGGATGCATGAATGGACGGATCGATGGACGGACTGATGGATGGACGCATGGACGCACGCAGAGACGGATGCACGAGAAGACGGATGCATGGACAGATAGATGCACGAATGGATGGATGGATGGACGCACAGATGGACGGAAGCAAGAACGAACGGACAGAAGCGTGGAGGGACTTCCCTCCACTCATCTTGTTTTACTCCATGGATGAGCTATGATTTTTAATATTTATCAGACTACAATAACGTCCTCTAGTATCGTACCATTTGCACTTTTCAGCGTATATATATATATATGCATTTCGTTATACGTACAAGTACCGCCCTCTACAGCCGGTTCAAGAACTAACGAGAGGAGGCTACATACGATTACGACGGGACTCTCAGGACACGCCATATAGAGCTTCGCTTTTAGAAAACAAAACAAAAACTCTATGTTGGACAATATAGAATATTCTTTCTAACAGTTTCTCGCAAAAGAAGAAACGATTTACATGAGTTTCGCGCCAGCCTCCATTGCTTGTTTTTATGTTGCTCTAGAGTGAACTAATACCAATACGTTTAGTATGCCAGCTTGAAAAGAATGATACCCTATTTACCCCTTTTTATTTGCTGCAATTCAGATCTGACTGCGCTATTAACGTTATTATGTGCAGGCTACCAACTGCAAAACCAAGCGAAAAACAATCATCACACCCTGTTATAACAAGACAAGTCATAATAACCTCTTGAGAATAATTAAATAATTCAGATTTTTCTTCAAATACAAATAAAAGCCATGCCATGCATTGCAAGTAAAAGTTTATAGACAGGAAGGAACAAATTCCTTGAATGAATGAAGCATCTTTTTGACATTTAAGGTATGTCGTTTCACTGACCATTTCGCGGTTATCGGGACACAATCTGGCGGCATCTGCAATCGCTCTTGATACATGCAATTAAGTTGTTGAAATGTGTACAACCTGTTTCTTCTAATCTGCAACAATCAAAATTGAAGTGACCATGCTACTTAATTTGTCAGCACACATTTAACAGCCATTCGAACGCTGATACATTTGGCACCTAGGTCGTGAACGCCTTCTTTTCCACTGAATTTGGGCAGGAAATACTGCTACAGATGCCAACATAAATATTTTTTGGGGTCTATAAACATTTACTTTCCATACAGCAGAGAGGATAGTACGAAACCAGTGTCCTGTTGAAATTCTCTAGCTGTGTCAATATGAACCAACAGCAGCATAATAAAATTGACAGCTGTATTAGAAAAAGTGCACGATACTTTTCACGACAGTGGGGAAGGAAGCAACTTTTAACAGTGAATATTTTACGGGTGGAGCTCCCCTTAGTCTAACGTTGCCCCGCATCAGGCGTAACGCGCAGTATCTTTCGAATAGTATAATAAATGATGCTGTCACATCATCATTTCTCGTGTCATCATCTAGATGGCATTAGTAAAACATAAGTGTGTGCAAAAGAACGGAGGGACACATGGACGAATGGACGGATGTATGTACGAAAGCACGGACACACGGACGTACGCGCGGATGGAAGGAGAGACAAACGCGTGGACAGACGCACGGACGGAGGGACGGAAGCACAAACGAATGGATAGGTGCACAAACGGATGCGGAGGCAGACGCATGGACGGACGCACGATGGCTTCACCCCACTCATCATCATTCACTCTGTGGATATGCTGTGAAGTTTTGAAATTATTAGTAACTAGTGGTCTCAATAGCAAAGCTCCTCGGGTAGGTATATGCCACAGGATTAGGGCCAAGCTCTCCGACTAAGTACTTCAGCGGGGAAAGTTATGCAAAAACTCTGCTCGGCAAAAGAGGCACGTAGAACAGTTGAAGGAGAGTTAGGGGGATATCAAAAATGGCGAAGTGGGCTGAATAAAGATAGAAAGTATAGAATTACTTGATAAATGTAGAGAGAGAGATAAGAATACAAAAACAAGCAGACACGAGAATGTTGGAAAGATAGAAAGAAGCAGAGAGAAATAGATAAAAAGAAAGACGAAGCGATGAATAAAAAGAAAAAAAAAGGACAGAAGAAAAATAACACAGAATGAGACCTAATAGAAAAAGAAAGCAAAATAAATAAAAAGATACAGAAAAAGGAGATAGAACATGCAAACAAAAAGAAAGAACAAAAGATCTAGAAAAATAAAGAGAAGCAAAGACGGCCACCCGGTTCATCTCTTCCTTGAAGCTTGGCACCACTACAACTAAGCTGCTCTATCTCTTGTTGTCATTTGAGCAATGTGCTGCAGGCTTTCACATAATCATTTCAAGTGGTTACTCACAGCCCATTTTTCGGCTTTCCAGAAGAGAAGCAGGGGCCGTTAGAACAGGCAGTCAATTTAACAAAATTTTGTGTATAAAGACTCTGCTTTCCCTTTGCTTCGTCATAGCAGAGCTATACTCACTGACAATTGAAAATGAATCGCACTTTTCGCTGGATATACTGTGTGTTTAGTGGAACAACTCAATCCGAAATTCCTGCTTACCATCTTCAAGTGTCTGAACACTCCTCGAGTTGCTTGGCGGTCCTTCGACACTCCTGTAGAAGGGCACGAGAAAGAATTGGTATTTCGTGAACTTCCTGAGATCGTTGAGCACGTAGGAGAGGGCTCCACCATTCAGCACGGTCACAATATTGTACTTTTCTGAGCCACCACTCATGTCCCGGAACCGAATGTAAAAGCCCTCCACGTATTCCTTGCTGCCTTGAACCTGCACGACATAACACGTTTGCTCGAAGCAGTTTATAAAGATAACTACAGCAATGAGAGCACTCTATATTACCGTTCGGTCACTGATCGATGTGTTCTTATACATCTAGTCTAAGACTGTACAGGCAGGGCAAAATTCGCTCCAATAATTGTTAAAGTAGCTTATTTTGCCACACAATGCCATTGTATGTTGCCCCCTATACTGCCTTGCTGCCAGAACCACTCTCAATTCACCCCTTTTATGCTTGGATACACTCATAGCTTTTTATGCCACGCCTTTTTTTCTTCAATTACACCCCTCCCCCTTCCTCCATATGCCAGAGCACTCGGTCACTTCATGAAGATATATTGCAAATGGACAATTTTGAGTTACAAATCTAATTAGAAATCATTGAAATGAATCATGAAAAGCTGCGCACGATTTTTTCTTTTCCTTAAATCATTTTCATTTATGTGATAACTGCTGCCCATTAATCGAGAACTACAAATAGTATCAAAAATACAACATATACCGTTTATACAGAAAATATACATAAAAGTATACTATTTTTTCCGGCTTCATTATCAGTTCACTTCAATAGTAGGTGCCTAATAAAGAAAAGAACCCCTCGAGTCTTTCGGTCCCAATTACCTCGGTCCCAATTACGTCGGTTGTACATTATTTCCCTCGGTCCCAATTACGTCGGTTGTACATTATTTCCATCAGCAAGGCACTGATGCCCCACCCAGAAGTGCTCTGAAAATATGTATAACACGTATTTTCTTACATACGCATTGCTTCGTTGGGCATATTATAACACTAACATGCTTTATGCCGGGGTCCACCAAAGCTTTGCTGACGTACCTTTGTCACGGAAGTGACATTGAAAGTTATGTACTACGAGATCGCAAAGAAAAAAAAAACAGAAGGCAAGAACGTGTCATACGGAATTGAACCAAAAACCTCTCTATTCTCAGTGCGTTGTGCTAACCGCTACGCCATGAAGCGTACTTTTTTTTTCTTTATTTCCTGTTTTGAACATAGTACACACATGAATAAAAGTTGCGATGAACAATATTATACTCAAAAGAAGCGATTACAAGAAAGTCGCTGGACTATTAGTGGTTACAGAGCTAAAATTTCTTTTGGTTCACCAGGGGCTCAACTCTGGAAAGCCATTCCAGAACAAAGTCTTGTTATTTGAGTTTATCAACGTATTGAGCAATGCTTTCGCGGAAAAGCACGCGCCCAGGACACCTGTCAGGACGACAGTAGTAACTGGCCATTCTAGCCCCCCATAAACAATATAGGTCAAACAGCATTATAAGATCAAAATGCAGTCCATCTTCTTTTTCTACTGTTAAAAATCTGATACCCAGAGAATGCAAGAGAATTTCCTTTTTTTAGAGTTCTTTGTAAGACATCCTAAAAATAAACCCCCTTTCCAACAATGCAAAAAAAAAAAAACGCGATATATTGTTTCCGGCTTTCGGTACATCAAACAGTTCGAACCCTATGGCATATAAAATCCTCTATTTTCTAAAAAGTTTTCACCGGTAACGTGCCCAAATAAAATATAAAGAAAAAACTTTTTGCAGGCTGAATTTGCATTTTCTTAACACGCTTGAGAATATAAATGCCCTCTCTTATGCTATTATTTAACCTATACACAGAAACCGAAAAAATAATGTCGCCTATGTCTTTATGCAATTTCTTTTGCCCGGCCGAAAAAAAGGTATTCATTGGAAAACCAAACTGGCAAGAAGCGGACACTGTTCACAGATTCCAAAGAAACACCGCGTGGCTTTGGGCATGCTTGCGGTGCTAACCACAAAGTTAGGGGAAACATGACAAAGGCGTAACTGGCATACCATTCTCAAGAAGGGGTGTCAGACATCTCGAAAGAAAATATAACGATTAACTAGTTGTCGCACAAGTAGATGCGACAGGCTTTGTTCCCCCTGTTTTACTTTTCGGAGTAGATTCGTCCTACTACATCTTTTCCAAGTGGACCCCCATACAAACAGCAAATATCCTATGCAGCTTTCGCAGGTGCACTCGTGGGCGACACAAAATCTGCATCACATACCGTACGTTGGCTTGAGTGCTAACGGCAAGCCAGTTATATACTCAATAGACTGTTTGGCAGTCCTCAGATGTTCGAAACTTTAGTGCGTTTTTGTGATCAGTGGCGCGACAAGCTCGCATTGGGCGTGCTCTAAAGGTCGTCGTCTCTACGAAGTGCCGCCTCCATGGAGCGTGGCCTCTCCTGCACGTGCGCTCATCAGACTCGTTATTCGGGAGAACACGAAGGTGACTTCGCACGCTGCCACAGCCGCGTTCACGACAAGAGCGCGGTGCTGACACATGACCCAGGAAGAATTGTACAAGTTGTTTGCGCTTCTCCTGTGTATACTCATGTGCTCGTTTCGTGCGTCTTTCTTTCTGTTTCAACAGCGCGTTTTAAGAGTCAACTGCGACAGTTGTTAGTTCGCCCTCATCATGTGTATGCTGATTTCGTGAGTGCTCCTCGCTGTAGATGTGCGCTGCAAGTTTCTAGCTGCTTGCCGTTCTTGACGTGACTTTGTAATTCGGTGCTGTTGCTTAAACAATGCGCAATAAATGATCAACTACCTCTGTAAAGATACGTTTCCCTTTAGCGTATACCGATTCTTATATAGAAAAATCAGCCATGTTTCTTTAAATATAAGCGTTTTTTTCCTTTATATTCAACAAGAAGTAGTACCGTTACGCTTTGTCTTAACAAAGATCATGCAAAAAATAAATGCAATGCTTTAAAAAATACCGCAAATTTACATAACTTATCTGTCTGCTGTTTGTGAAAAATATTGAAAAAACATTTCATGCTCAGTAAGTAATGTTATGGAAGTGTGAAGAATACCTTCCAATTTAGCTTCACAGCTGTTGAACTCAAGGCACGTATGTCTTGAAGATTCACCACACATGCACCAAGCTTCGTTCGTGCTTCATCCAGGCTGTGCTCGGGGAGAAACTGTGGGGCCATTCCTGCCAAAAAAAAAGCACTCAAAGAGCTTATATCAACGCAGGAATGCTCAAAAGTCCTCAATGAGTGATAGAGTTATTTTGAGAGATATCCGTGTTACGACATCCGGCGATTATTGCCAACGCAATGAGTCGAACAAAGAGAAGGCTACGATTGTATTTTTTTCAGTTAAAAATAAATTTTCCGAGTGAGCTTGTAGCAACAGAGGAGGTTTATTCAAACGATGACACCAACCTAAAGTTCGTATGGTTTCAGAGACAGGGCTGGGCACTCCAAGTCCATGAGAGTTCTCAGCTCGAATGATGAAAATGTACCGTGAGTCAGGACGCAGGGCTTGAATGGTGTATGTTTCGGCAAGAATTCGATGGGCTGTCCGAACCCATCCACTCTGGAGATCGGTGCTATAGTATTCAACTGAAAATGAAAACGCGAAAGCAGTTATAATATCTTAGTGCCAGTAGCTCATATTCATTTAACTAAGTTGCTATATTTGTTCAGCCATTATGATGATTGGACTCTTCAGTGGCTGCTTCATTGGCCAGCAACCCAAATGCTGGCCACTGGTGGAGCGCCTTTACACTTGGTAATATTTTGAATGTGAGCCCCGTATTTTCAAAGGAATCTGCACTTCCTTGATTTCTGGTAAATGTGCGCATTAAAATGTGCGCATTAAAAAAATGTGCTCATTAGGCACAGTGTCACTCATAAACATTAACACTTGCAAACTTTTACATTTCTAAAAAGTAGTGGTACATTTTGTATAAAGAAAAGTAATATAAATATTAAAGTATTATCCTAACTGGTTTTCATCAGTCTAAGAAAATGTGCAGAAGCCAACAACAGTAATTACAGTACTCTGTCATTATCCATCATGCATGAAAATACCCTGAACTTCACTCAATAAATGGCCCCACCGCGGTGGTCTTGCTATTGGCCAAGATACTGGGCTGCTGACCCACAGGTCGTGGGATCAAATCACAGCTGCGGCGGCTGCATTTTCGAATCTATCTATCTATCTATCTATCTATCTATCTATCTATCTATCTATCTATCTATCTATCTATCTATCTATCTATCTATCTATCTATCTATCTATCTATCTATATATCTATCTATCTATCTATCTATCTATCTATCTATCTATCTATCTATCTATCTATCTATCTATCTATCTATCTATCTATCTATCTATCTATCTATCTATCTATCTATCTATCTGTCTATCTGTCTATCTATCTATCTATCTGTCTATCTATCTATCTATCTATCTATCTATCTATCTATCTATCTATCTATCTATCTATCTATCTATCTATCTATCTATCTATCTATCTATCTATCTATCTATCTATCTATCTATCTATCTATCTATCTATCTATCTATCTATCTATCTATCTATCAATCTATCTATCTATCTATCTATCTATCTATCTATCTATCTATCTATCTATCTGCCCGCCCGCCCGCCCGCCCGCCCGCCCGCTCGCCCGTCCGTCCGTCCGTCCGTCCGTCCGCCTGCCTGCCTGTGTGTCTGCCTGCCTGCCTGCCTGCCTGCCTGCCTGCCTGCCAGCCTGCCTGCCTGCCAGCCTGCCAGCCTGCCTGCCTGCCTGCCTGCCTGCCTGCCTGCCTGTCTGTCTGTCTGTCTGTCTGTCTGTCTGTCTCCTAATAAATTAACCTCAAATAATAATGAACTTCACCTATTAAAGGCATATTATGGCAATATCAATGCTACAATGACACAGAAAAGGTCTGTTACATAGAACGCCAAGTGGCAGTAGCCGATAGTTATGGCAAACAATGCTGCCCATACAAGATGAAATTTCTGATGTGCACACATTTTAAACGTTTGTTTTAATAGAATGGTCCTATCAAGGCTTTGTTTTTACTTCGGTGTCATTAAAGTAACACATTTTTAAAACTTTTTGCTCATCACCTTTTTGTTAGATAAGAGCGTAATTGTAATGGGTTGTGTTGTCCTTGGTCTTCAAAACCAATTCCAACTTTTATAGGCCACTGCGGCAGTTGCACTGATTGTTCACTTTAGGCTACACTTCTATGGGACGACTACCTAAAATGTGTACAAAGGATATAATAAAACTGACTTACTTGTGTATCCCTTGAGCGATGATGCCCCCACTTTCTCACTACGTGTCCAAGTTAGTGTTATCGAAGTCTCCGTGGTATTTACCACCATAGGCGGCGAGGGTGGTCCGGGAAATGTGGACGAGTCTGGCGAACGATGAAAATTTACGTTTGGGTTGTGCGGGGAGTCGACAGTGAGAGATGCAGTCCAGGACGTCTCGCCACTTTCACTCGATGCTTTGCAAGTGTACGTACCACTGTCTGACATTTGAAGGTCTGTGAATGTACCAAAGCAAATTTCAGTCCCTGGAAATGGCTAGTCATGGATGATGAATGTTCTTGTATTGCGATAGGGATTATATGGGAGCTCTAAACACATTTTTATCGCAGCCGGCATGTTCTGTAACCCATTACGTGACCTATCGCGACTCCAGTGTGAAAAGGGAGCAAACACATATTGTCTTGCCTTTACTTTGCCTGCATCTCCGGAACATTGAGCTAAACGCAACATATAAACATTATTAGAGCTATGCAAAAAGCAAAGTTTTGAGTGCGGCGTGAATTTTAATATTAATGTGTTAGTAATTTGAAGCTAAACTTCAAAAAAAAAAGAAGCCGCTAAGTTCCTGAGCACCCATTGTTATAAGAGAGGAACACGAAAGCGTTTATTCTGGCTAGGTTGGCGAAGCGCTGGAGGGAGGAGGTGTTACCTGTATTTGTCTCATCAATATAATAATATTATATAAAGTTTAACGTCTGAAAACCACGATATAATTATTAGAAACACCGTAGTGGAGGACTCCAAACATTTCTACCTCCGGGAGTTCTTTAACTAGCACCTAAATGTAAGCACAAAGGCCAAAAGCATTTTTGCCCCCATAGAAAATGCGGCCACCGTGGTTGGGATTTGATCCCACGACCTCCGTGTGGTTGCCTTATATAGGATGTGGCAATGCAGAAGCTGATTAGTATTTTGTATGACCACCAAATTAATTCCACCAAATCACGTATGAATGAGTTGACGCAACCAATGATTTGTCACAAAACTTCAACAAGCCCGAAGTTTCTAACTGGCCCAGAGACGCGAATGCTTAAGAACACCTGAAGTCACAGACATAAAATCTTCGGCACCTGCTTTTTTTCAGATTCTCTGTCCAAAGTTAAGATGGGCCATTAATGAAAGCTCCTCGTTTAGCACGTCTATAATGATGTGAGTTGCTTCCGTGAGTCTATCTGTTCGAGGCCGTAGAAGAGTCCGAAAGGCAGCTTTAGCGCAATCCTACACTGTAGTAGGGCGAAGCGTATTAGAAATCTGAAAAAGCCACTGTCACGGCACAGTGCGGGCGATGCTGTACGGATAAGCATCTGAAATGCATGACGACGTGATGGCAGCCAATGCGCCCGCACAGCTTAGTCGCGGACAACCCTTTTGATAAGCACCTTAGGCGAACTGCCCTTTAAGCCATGTGGCCAAGCGCATAGGTATGGTTATAACCCAAACGCGTGCGCCGTTCATGCTGCCTTTATACGTAAGACCGCGCTAATCGCGCCGCCCACACGCGTTGCCTTCAATACCGTATGCAGCTCACCATGTGGGCGCTCATGTGTGTTCAAGAACGAAAGGGTCATTACGAACACTTTCGCGATAGCATCATGTGTACGCTACAGCAAGCGTCCCGCAAGTGACGGCGTCGGCTTGGTTAGCAATATGCTGCACATAAGCTTGCACACGTTGGAGGAAGGGGGAGGAGAGGGCCTATGAAGCTACCTTTTCTACTGCCCTATTAGAAGGGGGTGCACAAAGTATACCCCATACATAGATTTATTAGGGAGAAGAGCGCAGTGATGAGTTCCTACCCCCCCCCCCCCCCCCTGAGCTCTGATTGAAAACTCTGCTCAAGCTTATGGTGCTGCACAGAACTAGGAACAATAGGCTTCAAGCACCAATAAATGCTGCGTATCAGCACAAATTCAGCGATGCATGTGCGCAAGGCTTGCGGTTGCCCTCGCATTGGAGAAGGCACCTTCTTCCTCTTCTAACCACTACCACCACCATCAGGAAGGCCAGACAAGTTCCTTGGTGTGAAGTCACACTCCTTGCTGTCCGCGTCATCATTTATGATCACTCTATTGTAAAAAAAAAAAAATCCGCACTTGCAGGCATCAGCCGCGCTCATCACAAGACACAAATTTGTAATCAGCGGTCGGCCCGTAGTTAAGTGGGATTCGTAGTAGGTACGGAATGCGTTCATGAGAGACTGGAAAAGCATCAAAATGCCTGATAATGCATTTTGGAAGAGAATGAATGGCAATAGGGTATAAGGAGAGACTGGAAGGGAATAAAGCTATTTAGGACGTGTGTGGGTTGTTATAACTCTTTGAGCAAAGAAAAAAAGCACGACTTGTTTTTTTTGTTTTTTACGGACTACTCAATTTTCGTGATGATTTTGTGGTCTGTGAGGAGTGTCAAAAATCAGGCGCTTTTTAATATGCTGTATTTTATATTCCAGAACTTTAAATTTTTCTAATGGTGAATTTCAGCTGTGACTAGAATTGAATAGTGAACACTATTGGAAAAATATTCTACAGTTAAAATATCCGCACACAACTAAACATAGACCCGCAGGTATACAGCGCACATGATGTGACCAGACATCTATGTTCGCAAAGCGTTTGCACCCGCCATAGTATACCTGGGAGATTCTGCATGCAAGCTACCTGTTTCTTTTACGGTTATGATAGCCGCAGTCTTGAACAGCGTCTCGACTTGCGTGACTAGAAAAGCATATGCGAGTTTCATGCGCACTTCCCTCCTCGGGTTTCTTCCACGTGCGAACTTTCCTCTCCACGCGCGTATACAGTTCCTTCACATTTACTCACTCTTACCGCTTTCTCGCGCCATGCATTCTCACCTTTACATTCAACGCATTTAGCGCAAGGATGGTACTCTTTTCCAAATGCTTTCTTTCGACCGCAGAACGTACATTGTGTGGCTCGTACCAGGACCTTGCCGCACTTGGGCTTCATGCATATCGCGGCGATGGTATAATTCCGCTTCTAGTGTCTCTATAATTGATATCGCAATAATACACGCTCATTGACCACTGATTTCACGTACTATAAGAACATTCCCGAACCACCAGATAGTTAAAGGTTATAAAGGAGACTTCTTCATGCCTTCGCTATTCGGAGCGCAGTATGAGGCTGTTATAAGAGACACCAGCTACTCACCTTTTATCTGTAGCATGCCACATTCTAGCAACATGAGTCGACGCCGTTCTTCGTAGTTCAGAGGAGAACCGTTGTAGAGCCACTGCACAACAGGCTTGGGGGTGCCCTCCGCCTCGCACGGTAGCTGAGCTGTCGTGTGCACAGGCAATGTTTGGTTTGCCGGCCCCAGTCGTATAATGGGCGGAGGAAGGTCGGCGATAACGGTGACCTCCAGATAACCCTTGGTCATGCTTGAACCGACCACGGACAAAGCGGAACAGACGTAGTAGCCGCGGTCTTCCTTGCGTACCCCGCTGATGGTCAGCGTGCCCTCGTGACTGACCGAGAAGCGGCCGTGTGACTTGCCCGGAAACATCAGCACCTGCATTCGGTCGAACTTATTTGTGGTCCTTGTGGTACTTTGTATACCATAAATCATCCGGCAAAGCTTAGCATGCGAGCAGTTTTGAGCCTTTCGAGGATGTTAAGCTTAGGTACATCATACGACGTATGTAAGCGTTCTCCACATTAGAAAATGTGCCAGGCCAAAGTTATACGGCACCTGGTTGCCTTCTCGTGTCCAGAACACGGAGGGCGGGGGGTTGCCAGTCGCCAGACAGTGAAACTTGGCGACGCCATTGAGCCCCACTTTCTGGTCCTGGGGAGCGAGGCGGAATGCTGGACGGGCTGGAACGAGCAAGAAAACAGTAAAACAAAACAATGAGGCAAAGTACAGTTCCTCGCAGGGTTGATTGATATGCGGAGTCTATCGTCCCAAAATCCCTACAGGGTTAAAGCACTGAATGTGAGAGCAACAAATTAAAATGTTAAACGAAGTAAGACTAGCATCTGACTACTTTATTACTTCGTATCCGAATCACACGCATACACCACGAAACGCTAGCGCGGGAATACGGTCGCTTCAGCGAACGAAGGGGTTTTTGAACTATATGTTATGAGCATGACTCGTACAAGCCTATACGAGTCGCGCCTTTTGTGATAGCACTCGCACTCCTTTTGATAAAAGTTAACAATCACTGATCAACGAAGCAACGCACTCCTCGCCATTTGCTTTCACCCCTTGCTCTTCCTTTGCCCGACTAAACATGGGTGTTATGCCTGTGCTTGCGAAACCATCGACGACAGGCCTCACATGTGGGACGATGCCACCTCATGCGCTTTCCTTGTGACGGAGACGGTCGGCTCGTTTCATTTCTTCCTCATCCAGGCTCGTCCCCAGCACTCGCACCCCTATACTTGCGCGTAAATATGTCATGCGCGGCGAGATGTTATCCTTTTGAACTTTATGTGGAACATAATACCGACAGTGACGGCTACAAACCACCAAGAGTGTCCACGTAATTGATATCGCAATAAGACGTCACCTGTATATGACCACAGACCTTATAGTACTCTAACTGCTTTCTGATGGGTTGCGTGTTTTAATCAACATTCCAGCTGAACTTACACGAATGATCTGATGATTACCGCAAAGAAAAGTAAGAAGTTCATTTATCTGACTTCTGCACAGATTTGGACTTGCCTTTCATGGCCACATAAAAAAAAACTTATTTTCTTTTATAAGCAGAGCAGGTTTTCCTTCATTCTGCACAACGATGAGCACTCTCGGAATATTATCATGAAAGCTATGAGTATTGGCGGGTAATAAATACATGAATCATTGTAATGGACAAAACTCGGATTCGGGTGACACACATGACAGTGCTCTGTTTGACTTGATTCTATTGTGCTAACTCGGACCAATTTCTCCATGTTGGGTATGGGTAGAATTAAAAATGATCTATCGAGCTTAGTCCCGTCTCAAATTGCTCATCAAGCAAACTACGTAATTTGACTTCTGCTAACTTACTCTTCAGCAAACCTCGATCTGCATCTTGATCTCTCCATTTCAGTGCCTGTGAATGTCGTCCCAACGTCTTACCTATAGCACACTATATTCAAGACGGGGATTACAACTTACAGAAGACAGTAAGCGTCGCGGAAGCAGAAGCTGAGCCAACAATGTTTTCTGATTCACAAATGTAGATTCCCTCATCCGCTGGGGCGACACTTTTTATGTGCAGGCTCTTGTCCTCTTGAACGTATGCCCTGAAAAAAAAAAGACATGTTTAGTAAAATCTCTTAATCCTGCTTTGAGAACTTGTCTTAAATATAATGGACCAACAAAATATATGGAACTCTGTAATACAAAGAAGTTTGAAGAAAAGTGATGATGTAATCACAGTGAACATTTTCAATGCACAAAACTCGGTTAGAAGAATTACTCTAACACAAGAAAAACCATATTGATGGTTACAAATGAAAACATTGTTATAAGGACAATAATTGCAAGCTGTGTTGGTTACCGCAACAAATGTCCGATAAGAATGCGTGATCGGAAAAAAAAGGCTTTACGTAGTTTAGCAAAAGAAAATGTAGAAATGCAGATAAGCCAGTCTCTTCTCTATTATTATTATTATTATTATTATTATTATTATTATTATTATTATTATTATTATTATTATTATTATTATTATTATTATTATTACCATGCACCAATTACGCCCGCAACGTGAGCGCTTCTCCGCAATAATGGGCATAGTGCGGTGAAACAAACGCCACTTATTAGGTGATATTCTCGGTGCACCCTTTCAAATGATTCGTGATTGCGTTGAATTGCCTAGCATATTGTAAGCGGTAGTTCTGAGCTGCCGAACTGAGAAAGCGGAGTTTTCCTAATATTTTCGCGCCACAGTTGACCCATTCGCACAGCTGTAGATCTTGCAGATCCCGATTTAGCATGTCTTTGCCAGCTGCCGTAGACAAATGGCGGTTGTTCACAGCGTCACGGATGAAGAGAGGTTCTTATGAGCGTAACAAGTTCGGGCCTCGTTTACGAAAATGGCATAGGAAAGTTCACCGCACATGCAGGTTTATCCGCAGCGGTGGTTTGGTAGCTACGAGACTTGGCTGTCGTCCAAAAAAAGCGAGGGTTGAATCTTGGTCGCATTTCGATGAAGGCGAAATGGTAGAAGCCTGTGTATTCTGTGATATCAGTGCACGCTAAGGAACACCAGATGGCGAACTTCTCGTAGCCCTCTGCTACAGCGTCTCTCATAATCATATCCAGGTTATCGGATATAATATTCTAGATAATATGTTAAGTGATGATAAAAAAACAACACCGAGGTTGAGAGCCTTCGTTTAGGCAGCTCCAGGGTGAAACGGAATAAGGGCAGATTAGAACAGCCGGTCCGGTAGTTCTTTTGTAGTTATTATTATTATTGATGGGACTCCTATGATGGACGTATTCGCATGCCGTTATTGTTCTGTTTTCATGATATTTGTTTTTCAGTGGGGGCAAGTTCGCCTGGTAGAAAGCCGTACGTTTCTGTAACGCCTCATGTTACAGCCTTCTTCAGCTTCACCTCAGCGTGTCAACACAAATTAAGACTATCGTATTTGGTGTATAGCTAGATTTACAGGTATCGTGATAACAGTTCATGAAGGCACCGTATCATGCAGTGAAACAGTTTTTTTTTTCACCCACGTTACCCACCTTCCGATGGGCATCTTTCCATCTTTCCTTCTCCAGCTGACCGTGGGCTTCGGGTCGCCGTTGACTTTGCACTCGAATTTCACAGATTCTTCTGCAAGCGTTGTCACGTCTTCCGGGACTCGGATGAAATACGGCTTCGCTGAAGAGAGAGAAACCAGTGATTGCCAGTAAAGCGTGACACGAACACAGATTTCAGAATTGGCTCCGATTGTGCTGCTCGTAAGAGAACAAAATGGCGGTTCTGAATCATAGCATGCGAAAACTTACTGAAATGAAATAATGCACGCCAGACAGAAAGAATCCCTGTCACGTCAACGTGCATATATTAATTACTCAAGGCACAGTGTCTCGGGCCCACCGCACGACAGTGGGCGTGCTGATTGTAAGGCGCATCAATAATTGGAGAAGGGGGAGGGGAGACAAAAAATAAGATTAAATGCTATGAGGGGAGCAATAGGTGTGTTTTGTGTTGTGTAGCAAGCTCCTTTATGTTGATTTTAGCTTATCAACGTTCGTGTTCTGCTGAACTTACGCGTGAGAGTCCGCAAGATTTTTCTAGAAGAGGGGGCAAACAATGGTTTTTTACACACCTTCTACCGGTGCCCATGTTGCCTTTCCTCTTACAAAATAGACACGGACTTCTCTTTTTATACAGCTTACAGCAGGCCCATAACCAAGTTTTTTTTCTTCTTTTGAGGGGTGAGGGGCGCATGTTGGAGGTCTTGAGAAACCCGTGTTTTCATTAGTCATTTTTCGTAAAACACCCCCTATATCTAAATTTCGGGGAAGAGGGGGCTTAAGACACTCACTTGGCTACGGGTCAAGAGTACAGAGCGATGCTATCTATAGCCATGGCCAGTTTCCGACTGGTGTAAGCGCGGCTAAGACCAGGAACGTCCGGCTTCGACAGCACTTTTAGCAGTGACCACGGGTTGTAACTGTAATCCCAGGTCTCCAAGGGTGAGCTTGGCTTTCCACATTTAAACTTAAGACATTTCTTAGAGTAAAAAGTAATGCAGCATGCCGAAAAGATTGTTTTTGTAAGAACGGGACATATATCTTGCTCCGCATCAAATGCGTCCCGCTTACGGTTATGCAAAACAAAGTGTGTGCATGCACGTTCATCTAGCTCTGGTCCATCACATCTCAGGAAGGGCTCGGAACTTCATCCTCTAAGGCAGATGCACACTAGCCTGCACTAATTGATGCGTGATCCAGACTGACGTCATGAGAAGGACGACCGGCAATCCCACCTTCAAGAAAGTTGCCGAGAGAAAGATCAGGGCTTTTTATTTAGTCGCACTTCAGTCAGCTCGGTGGGGCCTTTTCAGATTTTGTGAGTTGTACTCGACTATACGACAAAATCCGTCACTCAACTGTGCACAGACAGCAGCGCTGGCGGTGAGTCCCTCGTGCCGAGCATGTTGGTGGCCCGGCACACATAGCGCCCTTGGTCGGACGGGCGCACGTCAGCGATGACAAGAGCGCCCTGGGCCAGGAGGCGTACGCGCCCCGTGCCCGGCTGCACCTGGACTCCGTCCTTGAACCAGGTGACCGTGGGCTCGGGGTGGCCCCTGGGAGGAACACACTCCAATGTCGCCGACTCTCCCGTCGCCACGTGGATGCTCTTGGGCAGCTGCCGGAATTCATCGCGAAGCGCTGCACGTTTCGAGCACAGGGAAAATGGAGAATAAAAAGGCTTTAGGAGGCGCAGAAGGATACCTGAGTTATCTCAAGTCATGGCACTGCACACCAACTTCAGTGCACAAGTATGTCATTGTTCACGCTGACATAAGTTCAAGAGCTGAAAACTAAGTTTTCCGAGTCCATCGTTACTCAATTATTACGGAAGCAAATAGGGCACTACAAGGTGAAAATCTGCCTACGGCGCGGTGGTCCAAATATGATAGTTTAAAGAACTTGGCGGAATAGCGTGTCTAGCGGTAAAGTGATGACGCAGTGAGCTTGCACAGTGCGTTAAAAAACCCGTGTACATATCGTTTGCAAGACGCATGCTATTTGAGTTTGCGTTACTACGTTTGCGTGGTGTACATGTGCATGTAAAGCATGGTGGCAGTTGTGAACGTTCACTTCGAACTGAAGTTTGCACTGCTGTTGGAGGATGAATTCGAGCGCAGCCACTGACTGTGTTAACTGGCTTGCCTTCAGGCAGCATCTGCGACCAAGAGTTACGGATAACGTAGTGGAGTTCTTCAGATCACTTCCCGTTTCGATTGCTAATAGGCTTAACCAAAGAAATGATAGGACAATAATGAATTTTTGTTTTTGCACGTGCTTTATATTTGTTTACTTCTAATATTACTGAATGTTAGTAATGTATTACTGCATGCGTATACATAAGTGAGAGTTCCTGATCTCGTTTCTACACACTTTTTTAACGCTTTCTTCCTCCACTAAGTGACGCCGTAGTCGTAGAACGTAAACGCTGTTTTGCTATGGTTAAACGCGTGGCCCACAACGAACTTTTGCGGCATTTTAACGCTGTTCTAAGGCTAAACTTAAAATCTCAAACTTTACCCCGCCGCGGTGGTCTAGTGGCTTAGGTACACGGCTGCTGATCCGCAGGTCGCGGTATCGAATTCCGGCTGCGGCGGCTGCATTTCCGATGGAGGCGGAAATGTTGTAGATCCGTGTGCTCAGATTTGGGTGCACGTTAAAGAACCCCAGGTGGTTTAAATTTCCGGAGCCCTCCACTACGGCGTCTCTCATAATCATATGGTGGTTTTGGGACGTTAAACGCCTCATATGAATAATCAAATTCTCAAACATTTTATTGCACCCAGGTTACGGTTCGCTGTAGAACTCAAAGACCTCACCGGGAAACGCACTGCTTGCCCGGGCAGACAAGAACTGGTGGCAATGCGTGCGCGGGGCAACTAGGTACGTAGGTGGGAAGTTTAGAGCTATGTCCGCCCGTCAGCGTACATCATCATTATGAGTGCTATTCTCGCTCATTTTTTTTTCGAGAGCGTGGTTAACATTCAGTGTGATTGCGAGCGCACCCTGCAGAACCTGATGCATGCGGGCACATCACGGCGCACTGCGATGGCAGCGGTGATTATAGAGGATGCTCAAGTCAGCCAGTGGTCATGTTCGTGTACTTTCGGGCAAGTGACGCAGTCCAATTTGGGTATATGGCGTCCAGTTCCGTGAGAAGAGCGAGAGATTTGTAGTTCAATTGGAAACATAATTGCGAAATTTATGCCGCGCGTGCGACATTCGGCTCAGATGTTCTTTGGAGCCTCGATCACCAATCGACAGCATTTTCTGACCACGCTTAAGGCGTGTTGCAGAGCCCGTTCAAGTTGACCTTCAAATTTTTAGCGATAAAGAACGAACCTTTGCGTACCACCGTCACTTGTATTCGAACTCGCAACTTCTTTGAGCGTGCCCTAACAACATAGTCGTCGTTGGTCTCGGAGCTGCGTGGTGCCTAAACGTCTACATCAGAGCATCGCAGGCACGCGGACAAGGGCGGCGTTCAGAAAGAGTTACGCTCACAAAAGCCCGAATCACCTTCAAAAAATAACGACATGCACATAAGACATTCTTGTTGAAAAAAAATTGCCAAAAACGTTCAAAAAAGTCCAGAAAGTACCACCCTCACCAGATCCACCCGAAGCAATGGTTGCGTTCACTGTGAAAGAGAGATAGGTGCTTTTAGTTGACATTTGGCTGATATCGCACAAATAACTGTGACCTGAGTATTCCTTCTTTTTTAAGGAGGATAATACAGGCGCTACACTTTTGTAATGTAATATGTCGAAGTGAACAGAAGGTCACTTGGCCTGCACGTGTCCTTACATTAGAATTTCAGAGAGTGAACTTGTATTCCTCACACGGAAACCCTGCATATACGCACTAACCATACGTATATTATTCAGCACGCCACGGCGTTTACCAGCAAGCGTGTCTGCAGCACGATGGCAGCAGCGCATAAAGACGCCAGAGAGGTTGTACGACGGGGTAGAAGAGTTGTCGTGACGTCGGCATTGGGGGCTTCAGAAAAAGAAGGAGCAGAAATAAGTAGGTAGAAGATGCTTAAGAGGCTATGGCACGGTGCAAAGGCAAGTAGCCCCTCCCCGCTCCCACAAATGATAAATGCATCACTCAGGGCCTTGTAAACAGGGCGTGACAGGTGACAGGTCGTCTATCTCCCCACGGTGATGTACTGTTCCTGCATGGTACGGGGTCATGCAGATGGTGCAGGGGCGTACACCAACAGCGGCGATCCCACTGCCAGCGTTGACGTAAGTTGCGTGTGCCGGTCCGACGAAGGTGAGTTGGAAGGAAGTGGGCGCACGCCTGCTATACTTTCGATTCTCTAAAAGTCGGTCAAACAAAAGTTCACATCGGTGAATCGTACCGTCCTAAATGAAGTAAAGAGTGCCTCGAATAATTGATAAGTACCGGAAAACAATGTGCGCGCCCTAGTAGCATGTTTTTGTAGGAGCGAAGCTCCTAAAGGCATGGGTCCTGCGTTTCCTGGAACGTTACTAAATTTTTCTTTCAGTTTGCAAACTGCGCTGCCGCAGGTGTCACCCTTCTATGCATCACCACGAGGGATGCGCTCGTCGTTTTTTGACTAGTCTGACGAGGCTCACGGCGGTTAGGCGCACGCCACCGACCACGCCGGCGAAGCAAAACAGCAGGTGCTTCTCCGTAGCCTGCAAATAGAGCGCGTGCATTCCATGGCAATCGCTATCATTGTGTGTCTCAGCGAGATCGACGACACTCGCGCAGTTTGTGCTCCCACTGCTGTTTACTGCGATATCATGGAGACAATTGACGTTGTGTCTCACTTGCTGTCAGCTCTGTTGTGTTATCGTGCCAGTTGTTAGCTGCATAGCTCTCATGCGTCGTGTGACGGTTTTTCGATGTTATAAAACATGCCTCACTGCTTTGTCACTGGTTGCCGAAGCTTCTACGACTCAACGAAATCTGCGACCGAAAAGGGGCATTTTTTCAAGCCACACATTGATGAGGTGGGTCTTCAACAGTGGCAACGAGCAATACCGATATTGGATAAGGAACTATCAAGATCTTGCGCTGTGTGCAACCTCCACTTCCAGGAGGATGATATCTTGAAAAACTACATGCAGAATGTTGATGGTGAAGTAGTTTTGATACCGCGTGAACTAAAGTGACTTCCAGTTTGTTTGTTGTAGCGTTCAATAAATTGTGTTCAATAATACTTTGTAGAACTCGTTGTATTTTGCAATATATAGCCTTATAAGGGACACGCATTTATTGAATTCGTGTGCTATCTTTCCTTGAAAGAAACGTTCAGATCGTAAATTTAAGTTATCTGGAACGAACAAGTTGTTCGAGGCTTTACACTTCCAATATCTTCGGCGGCATCAGATGAATGTGTAGTGTGCCTCGTCATATAACAATAACTAAGGTTATATGATTACGAGGCACGTCGTGTTGAAGAGCTTTGAAAAATTTGGCCACCTGTGATTTCTCTACCATGCACATGAATTCAAGTACATAGTCCTCCAGCGCTTACCCTTAAGCCCACTGCAACGATTTCTTTATATATACAGTTGAATTTTAAAGAACAAGAACACAATATGGCTAAATTAACACAATGCCCGCAAGACTCAGGCATCGCACTCGCATCTCCGTCTTGTAGCACCACATTAGCCGCACAACTGGTGCTTTAATTGCCCACACGTAATAACCTTAGTACTTTATCATGAAAAATAACTCCCACAACGCAAAATTAACGACAGGAACTGTGTTTAACACTTTGCATAAGATTCATTACGTCGCGGCGACCCGTCAAATAGCATCGGAAGTGCCACCTAGGAAGTGGGAAACGAAAGGGGCTGCGTTTCTCCGCCTCGTCCCAGCGGAGTTTGCAAACTGAAGAAGAATCTAGTAACGTTGGTTTCCTGTACGTAGTAACCACCTCTTCGTTTAGTCCTTGGAATGTCCTCTGGATGGCGGTACTTGTATACGGTGAATATATGATGAAACGAGGCGATCGAGATGTCGGTATTTAGAGTGTCCACTAGAGAAGGACATGCAGACAGACGAACGGACAGAAAGGGGAAAGACGGATGGAGCGACGGATGGATGAATGGACATACATACATACATACATACATACATACATACATACATACATACATACATACATACATACATACATACATACATACATACATACATACATACATACATACATACATACATACATACATACATACATACAAGCAGACCGGCATACGCACAGACGCACGTGCAGACGGATGGACAGACAGACGGACGACTCACGGTTTAGCGATAAATCCCTTCGAAGCTTCGCCCCACTCGTCATCATGCAATCCGTGGATATACCGTGATTTTTTTCTCGAGTAGCTCAAAGAGTATGGCCTACCGAAGAGCACGGGTTGGCACCAGGCCTGCCATTGGTGGCAGCCGAACCCCTTGAGAAGACCGCTGGGATGAAGAAGAAACTATTCAGTCTTTACTTTGACACCCATGGCACCTACCGCACCTCATGCGCCGTGTAGGATTCACTACGCTGCACCGTTTTAGCGATACCGACGCAGGCGTGTCATGCGGGGGTGACAATAACTCGTTCCACTAGGCCGCGGAGTATTAAATCCCGGCACCGACCCTGTCGC